CTATGTACATGTCAATTAGTGACGACCCAAAGCAAACCTGAGGATTGCAGGTGACATTGACTTAACATAGGCTTGGCTGTGAAAAAGAAAGCTGCGAGAGCGCGATCAGTAGTAAGTTTCATATGGCACTTTGAGATGTATATATATATATATATATGAGTTTACATCAATCAAGACTATGTTCAACATGCTCGGTGTTCTTGTGTCCAGCTCACGGGGGTGAAAGACGAACGGAGCTGGTTGATGGTTGCCTTCTTAGCGAAACAAAGGAGAAGGAGAGCATGGTGGAAGCTCCAAAGAGCACGGCGCAGAACGGAGAGGAGCCAAGTGGGTTGACTTGTACGGTTGCAACTTGCAGACATTAGTTTCCCTTTGGTCTTTGCATCATGGATTCATGAATATAGATTCAATAACATTACACAAATACATATAAATACATTACATTCAATTTCCCTCAGAATGATATCCCGCAATTCCAGAGTCACTGTCACTGTCAAGTTCGGTCTGTCTGCGTTTGATCATTTTTTTTGTTGTAAGTTGCAGGGGCAATCGGATGCTGGTCCTGCTGCTGCAGCTGTTCACGGAATGAGTTCCACTGAAACCCCGGCCGAGGACGGGGCAAAGCAGGGAGAGGGATGATGCCGTTTCAATTGCGTTTATCACATGATTCAAAGTTCTCGTTCTCACATCTGATGCATTCTTGATTCATTCTTCATGCCATGAGTTGGTTGCTGCAAATACTTGCAAGTTCGTTCATGCATGCAGGTGCCCTACAAAGTGATGCATTGCATTCTCCAGAAGGGATACTACGAAGAGATCGAAGCAGGACAGATTGACTGACTACTACTGACTACAGTACTTTCTTGATTGCACAGTTGTGTTTCCAACGCACTCTGTGCACAATTACTGTCCAACTATTGCATGAGATTTTGACAGGAAGGAAATGCATCGAATTTCGGTCTGCATCGGAGCATTGGCAGAAGCGAGTGGATGGAGCTACCCATGTGGTCTTTGCGAAGGGCTGCAACTCATATGCATTCAGGTTAAGATCCGGTCGCCGGTCGCCCTGGGAGTTTCAAGTTTCAGCCATTTAATCTGAGGCACCCAAACCAAGCTGCCTCCTTTGAAGATCCTCTTGGTAGAGAGGGTGGATCTTCGCAGAGCCCAGGAGTTGGGCGCGCCAAATGATCCGTCACTGTTCAAGGGTTTCACAACGTTGCTGGCTATCCACTTCGAGCCCCACCAGGCCAGGCCAGTTGCAGTGAAACACACAGAAGCTTGAATCAATCGAAGCAAATGGTCAGACAAAGATTTTCAAGGAGCAGACTGAGCAGCAGACCTTGGAGCAAGCTCTTGAAGAAGAGATGGACCGTGTGGCAGCAGCAGATGTTGACCCCGGTGCCGACTTGTCCAGTCGGAAGAGGGCTGCTTCTTGGTTTTTTTAATAGAAAACCCTAACATGCCATTGCCATGCTTAGATGTTGTTCCGGTCCAATTTGCATTTATAGCGGTGACGGCAATCAGCACCACCGAGGTTGACGATGACAAAGTGGTAGCTGGAACAAAGAAGCTGAGGGTTTTGGAGAGCAAACCCAGTGACAGCGGCGCCCAGGAGCAGCGGGCCAAAAAGGCCCGAAAGTGAAATGAAGGTTTTTTCTTGGGGTAGGGGTTTAGGATCCATCCCGAGATCATCTCTCGAAGACTCGAAGATACTCAAACGTCTCATTAATTTGCAAAGACTTGCTGCAAGTCTGCAAGTGTTCTTGAATTTCTACAGGAGATGAGATGATGGGATGGGCTTGCTGGGGTCCTTCCATGAGGAAAACCTCATGTGACTCATGCGGCCGAACAGTGCCGAACAGCGTGAAAAAGAAGAGATGGACACCGCCGGAACACTTTTTTCCACATAACCATTTTGCACGCTTCTGAGTTTTCAGACATCCAAAATAGGTAGTGCACACATATGACCCCCAAAACGCAGCCACCCGTGAAATTTAACACCTGAGCAGGCGGCGCCTGCCAGAGGGTCGAAGGTGAAGAAGGAGGATTCACCAACAGATACCCACAAGAACCCAAAGAAGAAGAGCCGGGCTGCGCCCGATCCACCTCTACCTCCAGATGGTGACCCCGATTGGGATGACGACTCAGAGTACACCTATACTTACAGTGATGAAGGCCAAGAAGGGCCAGAGTCTGAGCGGCAGACCAATGATCCCACGGTGACGGTAACGGATCGGAGTGCAGCCGGAGGCTCCCGGCATGAAGGACCCGATCGTCGGGGTGAAAGAAGGGCAGATCGGCATGATCGCCTTGATGACCGTGACAGGCGGCGTCCTGGACCCGAGTTGAGGGAAGCTCCCCGCAGGCCGGAACGACAGCCGGTGGTGCCACCACCTCCTGCGCCACCCAGGCGCCGACGAAGGGATCGCCATGATGGAGATCCGCCGGGTGATGACGATGGCGCTGGCAGTGGGGCCCCAAGCAGGGATGATAGGTCGGCCTCCGAAGTTTCGACAGCCCGTACGGCGGAAGTCAAAGAGATGCTGGCCCAGTACAGCAGGCGGGACGACTCAAGAGGAAAGCCCTCTCTGTCCCAGGTGCGGCTGGAACCCTTCCGAGGTTCTCGGTCACAATACCAGACCTGGAAGCGCACTTTGGAGGCGCAAAGGTCCTTGTACCAGCTGAGCGATCCAGAAGTTGCCATGTTGGTGTACTTATCAACTCAGGGCGAAGCGAGGGCCATTCTGGATCAGCTGGACATAGCCGAGATGCGGGAGGAAGGCGGTCTGCAGCGAGTCATGCGACTTCTGGAGGAGTCGTTTGGCGCTCGCTCAGACGAGAGGTTCGAGGAGCGCCAGACCGCTTTCCATGTGTTCCGACGAACTCCGGGTATGTCCATCAGCGAATACATCTCCACGCTGAAGAGATTGCGCAATGAGTACTTGCGCGAAGACCCAGGTACCGTCCTGAGCGACAAGTCGTTCGCCCAGCGGCTGCTGAGCAGGGCGGGATTGACAAAACGCGAAAGGATGGACGTCTTTTTTTCAGCGGGCGGCAGATATCAGACCCATGATATCGAAAGGGTCCTCCGCTTCCGTTGCAGTCAAGTTCACGTGGATGAGAAACGATCGGACTACCGAAGCAGAGGAGACCGGGATGAAGACCGTCGAAGGTCCAACTACAAGAAGAGGCCCCGGCAGTTTCCCAAGAGGTCTGATCGCAGCAAGCCGTACAGGCCCACTCGCCACACTGCCAATGTGGCCGGCAACGAGGAGTCCCAGGAGGAGGACTTCGATGATGACGATGAGGAGGATGATCCCGATAATGAGGATCTGGAGATGGAAGCCCTGAATGCAGATGAGGGCAGCTACTATGAAGAGGATTCCGGGTGGGCCGAGGACGACAGAGATCGCGGATGGGACGAAGAATACTATGAGAACTCCGAATGGGGTGAGATGGACGACTTGCGAGAGGCTTATGCCGCAGGCTGGAAAGCCAAGAGCAAGTCTGCCGAGCAGCGATTGGGCAGAGGATATCGAGGAGGAAAGTCTGGAAGCAAGGGCAGTGGCAAGGGCAAGAAAGGTAAGGCCCGTCCTGCAGACAACAGGACTCCTGATGAACGAAAGCGAAACAGCCGCTGCAGCTCTTGCAAGCAGAAGGGCCACTGGCATGGTGACCCTGAATGCCCAAATGTACGCTCAGGGCAAGACCCTCCCCGAGAAGCACAATCGAGCTCGGGCACCCACTTCAACACCGGAGAGGAAGAGCCCATCAGCCGGCAGAGCCGTCAGGATGCCCAGGTCCATCGAGTGAATTGGACGTTCATGGTTGGCGGATGGGATCTGGTTCAGAACTATGATAGTCCCTCCGGGAGTGAAAGCAGTAGCTCAGGAGAAGATGAACTGGCAGCAGCCGCAATGGCGTTGGCGGCTGCGCCCGCAGGAGAGTCCCCGGCACGCCCCAAGAAGAAGACCTTCAAGGTTGCGCTGAAGACTGTCTTGGAGGCCCTAGCCGCGGAGACGGACGATGACGAACTGCAGAAGCGGCTGAAGAAGAAAGAGTATAAAGCTGCCAGGGAAGCAGCTGAGCGACTCCGAAAGGGGAGCGGTCGCGGAAGAAGCCCCATGGAAACGGAGGTGACATCAGCGGAGATGCTTCAGATGTTACCCCATCTGACCAAGACAGAGAAGAAGACGCTCTACAAGGAGCTCAAGAAAGAACAGGAATTGGAGGCTGCCAAGTATCTTGACCCGGAGGCAACCGGGGACAAGATGAAAAGACCCTCGAAGAAGCACGCAGGCTACACGGCTGCGCCGAAGCCTCGACCGAGTGCTGCTGCGAGCTCGTCGGCTGCGCCGGCAGCACCGCCTCAGGAGATGCCTGAAGCAGTACGCAGGAAGAAGCTGGCGGAGTTCCGTCGACAGCTATATGAAAACAGCTTGGACAGAAAAGGACGAGTGCGTCCCAGTGAAGCGTCGGATTTTCCGACATCAGTCCAGGAGGAGTGCCATCATGAGTGGCCTGACCTCAGGTGGGGTGCAAATGGATCAGCTCACTGGGCGACGTGCCGGAAGTGTCACCTCAAGAGGGTGTTATACTATTCCAACGAGCACGGAGCACTGGTGGCAAACGAAGCACCTCCAGAGGTGTGGATGTTGGAAGGAGGATCAATGAATGTCATCTTGGACACCGGATGTCGCACGGCAGTGGCCGGAGCAGCCTGGCACCGAAGGTTCCAAGCAGAACTGCAAGAGCTTGGTTTGCCATGGGAGAAGGTGACCCATGAGGAAGTTTTCCGGTTCGGTGCTGGGGATCCCGTAGTTTCAACAGAAGCAGTAATCTACCCCATCACCTTGGGTGCGACTGGAATCCAAAGCTAGCTGCGCCTAGCTGTGGTGGGCAACACGCCACAGGATTCCCGAGTGGATTTGTGCCCAGCTCTGGTCGGACCAAGTGAGCTGGCACGTTGGAATGCCACCTTCAACTTCGGCGATAAAACGATGAGTATCGCAGACCGGCGACTGCCGATGGTGCTGTCCAACACACGACATCCAATCCTTCCAGTGTTGGAGCCAGGTCATAGCATCAAGGAGTGGCAAACGCCTGCCCTGATGGAGCTGAAGCAACGGCTGATAGCCGATCCATACAGCCTGGCACTGATGCAGCAGCACCTGGAGGAGGTTGCGGAAGAACATGACGGGGAGGCTCCCCGGGAGATTGATCTGGTCCCGCTGGACCTGGAAGAAGGCTTGGAGGCCATTGCTTTGGCCGATTGGCAGAGTGAGTTGGAGACTCAGGCCATCCATCAGTTGGATGAGGTACTTTGCCGGCTGCCGCCGAATGCACTGGTATCCAGCCTATCGCGAGAAGAGCAAAGCACCGACAGCGAAGGATCCATTAGCGAAGGTGAGAGTGAAACTTCTCACGATCCAGGGTTTGACCTGGAGGACAGCGATGGATCTTCCACCTCTTGCCAAGACGATGAAGTCGCAGAGCGACATATGGTGCTGACCACCGACATGAACGAAGAGAGCGAGGTGCTGAACAAAGGGCAGCGCCGCAGACTTTTGGATGCAGTCCACAAGATTGCAGAATCTGCAAAGGAGGAGCTGGTGGAAAGAGTCCCTAAGGGACCGTCCAGACCTCCAAGGCCCATCCGAAGGATGAGTGGCCTGCTGAAGGTGATCGAGATTTTCACCTGGTCTTGCATGATCTCGCAGGTAGCCACCTTGAGAGGATGGGAGACCTATGAGCCCATCACGTTGGATGCCGGATGGGATGTTTCAAGTCCTCAAACGCAGGACGCCGCAATGAAGTACCTCGAAGAGGTGGACCCTGACCTGATCATGATCGCATTTCCATGTGGTCCCTGGTCCGTAATGCAGAACATCAATCAGCGGACACCAGCACAGCGGCGAGCTCTTAGGTGGAAAAGGGCCATCGCTCGAAAGACCGTCCTAGCCTTCACTCGGAGGGTTGCTCTCTGGCAGAGAGGACGTGGCAAGGCGGTCGTGCTGGAAAATCCCGCTTTAGCCAAATCGTGGGATACAGAAGAAATCTCGGAGGCTATCGAGGGGCTGGATTTCGCCCGATTTGACCAATGCCGATTTGGCCTACGGCATCCCGTGAACAAGATGCCGATGAAGAAGCTGACTCAGGTCGCAGGCCAAACGGAAGTGATCCAAGAACTGAAGGAGGCACGCTGCCTAAGAGATCACCAACACCACCCCATAGAGGGTGGATTCAAAGGGGCGGATGGCAAGTGGCACAGCTTGAGTGAGCACGCGGGAGGCTACCCGGCTGAGCTCTGCCACTGCATCCTCAAGGGAGCCGAGGCATTTTGCCGTTCACAGGAGGCCCTTATTGGGGGTGGAGATGACTATGAGTTTGATGATACAGCGGCAGAGCTGCAGGACGGTGACGAAGCCCTCAGAGAGGAGGAACAGCTTGCCGAGCAAGAGGAGTTTCAGGACGACCCAAACCTGAAAGACAAGGATCTCGAGGAGGAAGAGAGGCATCCAGTCTCCGCAGAAGTGAGGAAAGCGGTGGAATTCACCCACCGCCAGCTTGGTCACCCATCGAGATCAACGCTCCTACGCATGATGCGGTTGAGTGGAGCGAGTAGTGAGGCCATCCGCTATGCAAAGCGATGGCGGTGCGATGTGTGTGCACAGAGGCAGCGACCTCGCCATCCGATGGCTTCGACTGCAACGACACGACCCTACGGGTTCAACCATCACCTGCACATCGACCTGAAGTTTGTCCACGATGTGAGGGCAAAGAGATATGCTGTGCTGTCAATGTTGGACCTGGGGACCAACAAGCACGACTGCGTGATGGTCAAGACCCGGCGCAGTGATTATGTGGCTGGCAAATTCATCCGCCATTGGTGCATGAGGTACGGAGTACCAGCTCGCATCACGCACGACCAAGGTGGTGAATTCGAGCAATCCTTCACAGCAGTGCTCGAGCAGTTTGCCATCGACTCCGATGTGACTGCAGCCCACGCTGGCTGGCAGCTGGGCGCAGGCGAGCGCCATGGAGAAATCCTCGGAGTAGCCTTGCAGGCTATAGTGGATGAGCACTCTGTGGAAGGATACAGAGCTATGAAGCTGGCCCTAGCAGCGGCTACGATGGCGAAGAACGCCACCATTACCCGTGATGGGTATACACCCAACCAACGAGTCTTTGGGGTTGAGGTGAAGTGGCCGAGCCTCCTGGCTGAAGAGGTGGAGCCTTCATTTGCAGAAGGAGTCAATACAGACTCCGAAGTGGCTAGGGCGCATCAAATGCGCACCACGGCTCGTATCGCGCTCATCAGGAGTGACGTCCGCGAGAAAATGAAGAGGGCGATCCTGAGAAAACCGGCCACATCCCAGGGGCCATACGCTCCAGGAACGCGGATCTACTTCTGGGTACCAGGGGTGAAGTCCCGGTACAGTTCCCGCGGAGGCACATGGCGTGGTCCGGCGACCATCCTGATACAAGAGCGGGCGAAGCGATACTTTGTATCTTGGCGAGGTCGACTTCTCCTACTGGCAGAGGAGAATCTCCGACTCGCGACGCGGGAGGAGTTAGCACTCACGGAGGAAATCAAAGATGAAGTCCTTGACCTTCAGGACATGCTCCGAGATCCGATGAGATCCAATGCCTATAGAGACCTCAGAGATGCAAAGCCACCTCCAAGGAGGCAACATAAGCGAAGAGCACCGGCTGCGCCGGAAACTATGGAAAGGAAGCGTGCCAAGCTCATGATGCGAGGCACGAAGTCGGTGCAGAAGCTTTTGCAGGATGCTGGAGCTGGAAAGGAGTTCAGGAAGAGAATAGCTCGGCAGCGACGCGGCCAGAAAAGGAAGGCAGTGAAGATTTCAGAGCCGCCTGCACCGAAAACGGCAGAACCTTTACCGGCGGAGCCGGAGGAGAAGTCAGAAGGCTATGACCCGAGCATAGCAGAGGATCCGGTAGAGGAAGGCCCTAGGCCGGAGGAGCCGGAGGCGCCGGACACAGTTGAAAGACCTGAGGATTCGGAAGCTCCGAACGAAGGTGGGGCACCCGAGCTCCAGGAAGAGCCAGGTGAGGACGCTGAGGTGGCACCAGAAGATGTTCCAATCGAAGGGGACGAAATCACTGAAGAGGATGGTGAGGATGGTGACCCCTCACGGTTAGATCCCCTGCGGCTCATCCGAGAGCGTGCCAGTAGGGAATGGCAAGGTCTTCCGCCAGAGGCGAGACGTCAGAGGTTGAACGACGATGTACCTCTGTCTTTAAAGAGGAAGATCGCAGAGCGACGTGATTTGGATGACACTTTCGTCCCGGAGAAGCGCCAGAGGGTGAGTGACTCCCTGGTGGCTCAGGTGATGATGGGCGCTTCAGAAGACGGACCGTCCAATGAATGGGTTAGCCGATATGAGCTTACGCTGCTGAGGCAGTTGACAGGGCTGCCAATCTGTGCTGCGCGGTTGCACCGTGCTCCAAGAAAGAGGTTCATGAAACCTCCAAAGATGGTGTCACGGTCTCGGTTGACCATCATGATCGGAAGAGACCCCGTAGACGCCTTTGTGGTCTCCGAGAACCCTGAGGAAGTAGCGGCCAATCCGAGACGCAGGTCATCCATCGAGTGGAAAGGAATGACCATGTTTGCCAAGGCTGCGCCTGAAGATAAAAGGGCACGGATGTACCCAACATACATCCAAGGTGCTCAAGGTCTTTATGAGGCCAGTCTGACCTACGAGGAACGCAAGGCGTTCGAAGAGATCTGGGTTGAGGACACCAGGAATTGCTTGGTGGCAGAGATCATGGCTTTGAAGCTCATGGCCAGTGGCAAAGAACTCAATCCAAAGGCTTTCGAGAAGGATGAATGGGAAAAGTTCAAGGTCTCTGACCAGAGAGAATGGGAACAGTGGATCGACAACGCTGTCATGAGAAGAGTTCCCAAGGAAGAGGCGGCGTCCATTCCAAAATGGAAGGTGTTCAAGTCCCCACTCCGAATGGTCCGAACGAACAAGAGTGGTGGAGTGCTGTTACCTCTGATCGCAAAATCGCGATTAGTGGTGCCAGGTCATTTAGACCCTGGCCTGGGTGCGTTTCGCACCGATGCACCAACTGCGGCCTTGACGCCGACCCGCTTGGCAAAAGCGGTGGCAGCCGGAAGGGGCTGGCAAGGTTGGAGTTTTGACGTGACGACGGCTTTCTTGTCAGGAGATAGCACCAGCCGTGAGATCTACGTCAGAGCCCCGGAAGAAGGCCTGCCGGCCGCGAGAGGAGAGCCTCCGGTAGAACCGTTCGAGTTGCTCCAAATTTTGAAGTCCGCCTATGGACTGACTGAAGCCCCAAGGCTTTGGTATTTGCGGGCTTCACGCACGATCCAAAAGACCCCTCTCAAGGAGCTGGCTGCAGCCAAGGCAGTATTTGTGGCCGCGGAGAAGGGAGTCTCGTGGGCGATCTTGGTGCTCCACGTGGACGACGGCCTGCTGCTAGGGTCTGATCAGGATGTGCGATTTCAACGGTTGAAGGAACAGATCAATGGACTGTTCCGAATCAAAGAGTGGAAGACCGTTCCACTCACATTTCTGGGAGTGAACCTGGAGAAACAGGGTGACACGTGGGTTGACGACATGTCGGCCTATATCAAGGCGATCAAGATCCCAGAGATCCAAAAGAAGAAAGATGACATCCCACTGGATGCTCAGGAGCTGACTGCCTTTCGGCAGCTCGTCATGCGCCTTCGGTGGCCTGCACAGCTGGCTGCGCCCCAGCTATTGTATGAGGTGTCACTTTTGGCACAGAAAGTTTCTAAGGCGACGCACAAGGACTTCAAGGACGCCTTGGCGTTGCATGCCAAGTTCCTGACGGAAGTGGATGAGGGTAGAGCTGCGCTCAAATACCCAAGGATGAATGGCGTGCCATATCTGGTGACGTATTTCGACGCGTCACTCGGCCGAGAGCCCGAAGGACGCTCTCAACTGGGAGCCATTCATTTCCTGACTGATGAGGGAGTGATTCACGGGCCGCGCCCAGCTGCCGTGGTGGAGTTCACAACCACCAAGTCCACCAGAGTTGTGAGAAGCTCAATGGCAGCAGAATCTTGCAGCCTAAGCGTGGCTGTGGACCGCCACATGTATGCAAGGCTGATCCTCGACATGATGCTGAGAGGAACATACGAGGTCAAGCCTACTTGGCGTACAGATTGCCAAGTCCGTGGTGGTTTGGTCACAGACGCCAAAAGTCTGTATGATCATATGTCCACGACAGGACAGATCCCTCAGGAGAGACAGACGATGCTGGACCTCCTTGCTGCTAAGAGCCTGCTGGAGCAAGAAGCCTTTCGGCTCTTTTGGGTGCCCACACATAGGCAGTATGCCGATGTCCTTACAAAGAAAATGAAGGACCTACTGTGGATGGAGTTCATCCAAACGGGTACCATCTCGCTGCGCGAGACCCCAGCAGAGAAGGCTCTGGAGGAGCATCGTAAGCGACTTCGACAAGGTCAACGGCAGCGCCGGAAGACCAAGTTCAAGGCTGCAGCTGCAGCCACTAATTCGTGACGGCCACGCCAACACTCTCTTTTTGGAATGTGAAACATGGTGAGTGGTTTGGCATGGTGGCATACATGCATGTTTTGTCTACTAGCATTTTCACCTATTTCTTTTGCCGTGGCCGTTTGTACAGCTTGGCCCAAGTAATAGCTTTTCGCATTTGCACCAGACGCTTCTGAGAAAACAGGCCGCTGCCTCTTGACCTTTAGCCTTTGTCGCTGACGCTACCCAGCGCTCCGCAGTCAGAACTGATTTATGGTGGCTATATCTGTAGTGAAATGAACGTAAGCCAGGTACCAGCGACTCTTCCGCACCAAGTTGGACCACTTGGGCCGGGCCGTTCCCTTCGACACCTTCCGAAGGTGGGGACGTTCCATGGTTGCTGTCATTCGAACCTCCAATGGGGTTCTGAATCAATCATGGTCAAACTATGGATGCTCGCAGCAGACTATAGAGACTTTTTGTGGTTCATGTCCCAAGACTGCAAATGCTGGGGCTGGATATATGAGAACACTGTTTCACTCCCTTGAAGGCCAATCATCCTGTCAGAAACATCTTGACAAGATACGTAACAGAACACCTTCATTGGATATCGGAATCGTTTGTACTTCCTTGTTTGTAGTATTTTGATGTATTTTGTGTTGCTTGCAATACTTTCAAAGTTGTTTCCCGCCACTCTTGCGTAGCGGTCCTAAAAAAGATAACGGTTAAATTCGTATGGAGGAGCGATTGGTGCCTATATAGTCTGATCATTTATTGAGTGCGAACAACAATAGCCATTCATTCATTAAACTCAATTAAACTCAAAAAACCTACCTAGACTCTCCAATTAGTGGAAAAAAATGCAATATACCCTTCAATCATTTTGGGACTTTTCCTAGTCATTTTTTTAAGATTGGTACTTGGAGTGTGGTGCCAGGTATGCCCGTGGTGTCTTAGAAGAGTTGGATCACGACCCAGAGGCTCAGGCGGCGGGTTTCGGGAAAGGTGGGTCGGAAGCTGGGTGAATTGATGTAGTTTCCATCCCCAAAAAATCACCTTAAATGGGATGTATATTATTGATTATTATTGTAAAAATCCTTACCACGATTATTTTCCATAAGACATGGGATAATCCTTCCCAACTGACTAATATTTTTTTCAGAGGGGTAGGTATACCACCAACCAGTTAGTATAAACCCTTACCAAATGGTATAATTATAGTTTTATTTTTTGGGGAGTCCACATTACTCTGGTTCACTTTTGTTGGAATGACTGGCCCCCAGTTTTTGGAGATTGTCATCAATTACCATCAGTGATGCTGATGAGGGCCAGGATGTGGCAGAAGGCACATCAATTTCGAAACACCTTGCTGTTCTGTTGTTCGAGACCCATATTCTACCCTCTGGTAAACTAACATAACTATGGAAAATCATATGGGTAAATCCACTATAAATGGCAATTTTCAATAGCAAACTGTAAAATTACCAGAGGGTACATGGTTTCTTCCAGTTTTCCAGTGCGGTTTTAACCACCGATGGAAACATCACCAGCAAGCATGCGGATATGACCAAGGCATACCAAGGCTGGAACTGCTCAGTGGATTCACAGATGTTTTGTCTTACACCGTGACATTTATATATAATTATATATATATAATATACATCATTATAGTATATAGATATATATATATATTTATAATTTATTTATTTATTTATTGAAAGGACTTGAACATGTTGAAGCCACGCTTTCGAACGATGGCGGGTTGTAAGTGGACAATCATTTTTCGAAGTCAACTTACAGCAACCGTCGCCAGGAAATGATCCTGGAGCAGTTCGTCGCCGAGGCGAGCAAACTTGGATGCCAGCATCCCGGCATTGATGATACACGGTAAATATATATATATATATAGATATAGTACGTATACAATTATCTACAAGACAATACACGTACATGCTCTCACACACACACATACACACACATATATTATATATATATATATATATGTATATATACATACTATAGGGTCATCCCCAACAAGATGGAACAAGTAAACTGTTGTTGTTGTTGTTGCTGTTGCTGTGTTTGTTGTTGTTGTTGTTGTTGTTGTTGTTGTCGTTGTCGTTGTTGTTGTTGTTGTTGTTGTTTTAGCACTACTAAATTGATGATTTTCAAGCAAATTATTTTTCAGTACTACAATACATTTTTGTATAAACATAGATAAGGGAATTATCTCATATGGTTACCACCTACTTGCTAACTGGGATGCAATGCCCATTTATTAACTGGGATGCAATGCCCAAGTAGCTACTGTATCAAGAAGAACGTGGTAAGAACAATGGGACGAAATGACAGTGCATATCGCTGTGACATGATGATGGCTTCATCACAACAGGTTGTGCATGTGTTTTTTCATTCCAACTAGAGATGCAGGCAAAATGTTGCTTCATTCGAAGCATCATTGGCTCCATTTGTTTCAACAGCTGGTCATGGATTGCGGGTTGGTGTTCCCCATTTCTGGCATTGACTCATAGGGAAAATCATGGAACATGTTCGACGACGGTTTAAACATGTTTAAACTGCAAGGCTGAACGTGAATTCAAACCTGCTTCAAGGAAACATCCCGGAAAACCCTGCTCTTTAGTGAGAAAACCATGTGGTGATAGATACCATTGTCAAGTTGAAGAGATATATAGTTCATCTACAAAGCATGAAATTCAAATTCAATGCTGGATTACCAGGGGCTATCGTTCATCAAACGTGGGTGTTTTCCGTTGAATTTTCTCATGAATCGATCCGTTGAGATTTTGCTCCGACTGCTTGGATCATAGGCATAGCATTGGCATAGCATACACCTTTGTTTTCATGAGGGATCAGATGGGGTGAATGCATTTGCATCCATATTTTTTTCATAGATCGATAGATCGATAGATCGACAAATGGATATAAATAGCTAGATAATGCTAGACAATGCTAGATAATGCTAGATAATGCTAGATAATGCTAGATCGGCATTTTTCTATAGTAAGATGATGATGCCATGATTTTTACTGGATAGAACGATGCTTTCCATCAGCTTACCATTACGGATGGACACTGTCCCTTTGTGCTTCATCGGTTATATAAAGATGGGTGTATCATGTTATACCCCATTTGTTCGTGAAAAAAAACTTATTAACCTTGGTTGAAATTTCCATTCCATAAATTTCTGTTAAAGTTCCCTTCGGGTGATCATGAATTATCCTTGAAATGTCCACAGTATTTCCACAAACAAATCCATTCAACAAATCCATGAATGGTATATTAATGTATATATTCCCTATAGCTCCAAACACCTTCTGAGACTGTATTTGGAGTTGTTTTTTGGGGTCGTTTAAACACCTTCTCAGAGGATACTTGGAGCACTAGGGATGAATGCACTATTTTAATCAATTTTACAGGTAGAAATTCCCATTACACCCCCTTGAGTTCCTGATCAAATCCATGAAAAAAAACTAGCCATATAGACTGTACTGAAAAAATCGCCATAGAATCCTCCAACTTCATAGGGGACCATAAATAGGACTATTGAGAATTGGGTGGATCTTAGAATCGACAAAAAACCATAGGTTATCTCAATGACAATGCCATTCCTACAATTCTGATACCATAAATATAGGCTTCTAAAATTCTATGGAAAATTGATGGTATATCTCTTAAAATCCATGATGGCAATCCATAAATATAGCCAAAGATATAGCCGTAAAGTGCTTGTTTTTTTTTTTTTCCGTAAGGAGAGTGTCAAGTACCTTCTCAGGAGGTGTTTGGATCCATAGGGAATATTAACCATTATCATATAATTATGAACCAAACACAATAGCTATATTGGCGAATAATGATTATATTTAATAAATGGTAAACCACCCCATGTTTGATGGTATATACCACCTATTGATGGTGATTCTGGGGATGGTTTATGACATCGTTACGTTTTACCCACATTAATAATTAATGGTTATTAGTATATTATATAATATAGCCATTGACTGTTTCGTTCCTCCAGGCGAAAGCTGGTCGCGAATTCCTGGACGGCGCTGAGGTCCACTTTGGGAAAACGGGGCGATGAGCGATGGGAGTGAAAGGTCAGCGTGGCTATCCTCTATGAACAATGAATGGGACACACAGGAACATATGGTTTCGGAAAGATATGGGGAAAGCATGGGAAAATTCAGGAAACACAGGAAAATACAGGAAAAACATCGGAACATCTAAATAATTTGGGAAACACTTATAAGAACACACATTGGAAAATATGGGAACAACATGGGAAATGCATGGGAAAATAACGGAAAACACATTGGAAAATATGGGAAAGGAAAACACATTTTAATATATGGGAACAACATGGGAAACAACATAGGAAAAACATGGGAAAATATGGGAAAACACATTGGAAAATATGGGAAATCCATGGAAATCCCATATAAATGGATATAGACGGGGGTTTTCAAAGGGAACATCTGGTGGATCATAATGTGATGATTTTCCCAGCTAGAAAGTTGCCTTTTGTTCCAGGTTTTCCAGCCACGTTTGAATATGATAGTGTAAACACAAAACAAATGTGGACATGATATACATTACAAAATACTACATATATTTTTAATATCGATAAATAACACATGTGTATATTATGCATATATGTATATTCCAGACATGACGGTTGATTAGTCATTCAACCAACACGTGGACATTGAATTGTTGGTTCATGACTAATGGGGTGCTATACTGTGTATTTTTCTTTGGGAGTACCCTCTGGTAAACGTTTACATAACTATGGAAATTCACCTTTTTCCAGCTGGGTAAATCCATTATTTCTATGGCCATTTTCCAGTTCGCAAACTGTTAAATTACCAGAGGCTATTTTACAAGGTGGTGCCCCATAGTTAGCTAAGTTGGTTTATAACTCCCATAACTATGGTTTATGGTAGATATAACGAACTAGTTTTCATGGGGTTTATAAACCAACTAACATCACTGGGGGGCACCACCTTGTATGGATCATCATCCATGAAGAATTTCTATGGTCCAACCATGTTCGGATCTTTGACACTGAAATGATGGCCGGTCAGGGACATTGCCTTGGTCATGTATGTTTCAATATATTTCAAGTTTGCTTACGTTTAAGGCGAATATTGTTAATATTCCAAGAAATATATGGACATATACAATCATATACTATAACGTTTTCGTTTTAGGCTACGATATTGTGTTTTACGTTGCTAAGACTTGTATGTTATAGGCTCAACGTTTTTTTCTGCATTGCCACTCGCAAAACAACATGTCATGGAAAGGCGTGAGTACACCGGAAATCCTTCCGCGGTTTCGGTGAACACTGATGATGAAAGATATGAAGCTGATATTGTTGTAACCCGGATGGCTAAACTCTGTTGGTGAAGGGCGATTACCAGAAATAATTCTTTAGCACATATAGTTCAATAGCTGCTGAACTCATTTGGAGCAGTTATTAAGCCATTAAGCCGTATTTATGCTGCAAAATAATAATGAAGTATTGATTTCATTGGAGTACCTCCCCTCAAAAATAAATATGGTGTTTATTGACCCTGGATTGGTATTGCCGGTTGATGCTGTTAACATTACGTCGTGGTCTATTGGCAACGTTAGCGAAGTACATACTTACCCATTATTTGGAAGCATGAACCCAATCCACTAATGTAGTAAGCCCAACAATAAACCATTCCCAAAATCACCATAAATGGGATGTATAAAGCCTTCCCAAATGGTATATAGGTTTATTTTTGAGGTGCCCACATTACTCTGTTAGATTCACTTTTGTTGGAATGACTGGCTCCAAGTTCGACATCAGCGGCCTCACTGGTCCACCGCAAACTATGAATCATTGTTAACAATGCATATATAAGGAGAGTCCTTCAAACATATCCAACAGATGTCAAATTTATCGAACAGATTTCCAGCACATCCCAGAAATATGTGAATTTAGCAAAGACATATCTCGATATATATATATATATATGTATGTATGTATGTATGTAATGTAATGTATGTATGTATGTATGTATGTATGTAGGTATATATATATATACATCCCAATATGGTTTGCTTCTAGCAGAGTGGGATGACGATGCTCACAGCGTCAAAACACGCTTAGCCCTAGCGCGCGATGGAAAAAGAATGAAGTTCCCCTCTTCTCTCATCAAACGTGGCTGGAAAATCTTCAATTTATAGGTTATGTTCCTCTGAAATCCTCCATTTAGTTCTGGGATGTTCTGGGATTTTCCCATGATTTTCGCATGTGGTATGATACCCTCTGGTAAACTAACATAGCTATGGAAAATCACCATTTTTAATGGGAAAATCCACTATTTCTATGGTCATTTTCAATAGCTACGTTAGTTTACCAGAGGGTAAACCTCCATTTTCCTATGGTTTTTCTATGATTTTCCCATGTTCCTATGGTTTTCCTATGGTTTTCCTATGGTTTTCCTATGGTTTCACCATCAAAAACTGGAGCTCTTCATCGGAAAATCCATCAAGAACTGGGGGAAGTCATCGGAAAACCGCCAGGATAGCGAGATCAGGTTCCCCGTGGCTGGCCAGGTTCGCGGAGGGTTTTACAACATGGTGAAGCTTTAAGCCTTGTTAAAACCATAGGAAAACCATAGGAAAACCATAGGAAAATGGTGATTTACCCTCTGGTAAACGTTTACATAACTATGGAAAGATCCACCATTTTTCATGGGTAAACTCACTATTTCCATAGCCATTTTCAATAGCAAACTGTTAAATTACCAGAGGGTAATGGCGGTTTAACGGGATTTTTCATGGGATGTCCATGGGAATTTTGAGCTTTTGGTAATGCCATTGAATTAGGGCACTTTTTTTATTTAATCATCAAACATTGTTGTTTATAATTGGGAATACCATGGGATATCATGGGGAACATGAGAAATCTGATAAAGCATAAAAGATATGGATGGTTTGTGGGTAGATATCACCAGCAACAACGGGATATGTAACAATATGGGATACAATGATGGGATAGATGCCAAATAATGTAGGTGTTTCCATGAATGGGGTACCGGGATGTACCGGGCACCCCATAACTGGATCGTTTAGAAATTATGGCAATAAACAACCCATATAAATGGAGGTCTTATAATGAGAAAATCAGCTATTGGAGAGGTGGATTTATGTTGCCATGCTTGATTGCCGAAGGGTACCCTTTGGTAAACTAACACAGCGAACTGGAAAATCACAATTTCTAAGTTGGGTAAATCAACTATAGGTGGGCCATTGTCAATAGCCATGGGTAAATCAACTTCATGATACTATATCAACAATGGTGAACGATAGTGATTCATAGTGGTCAATAATGGTGAATAGTGATGTGGGGCTTCCATACATGTGGAGCACCCCAATAGCTGGATGGTTTAGTTCATGGAACATCCGAAAATAAAACGGATGATACCCTCTGGTAAATTAACATAGGCCCTGGCAGATAGGGGTTGGAAGACTAGTTTCCATTAAAAATTGGTGATTTTCAGGGTCTATGTTTATTTACCAGAGGATAACTGGGGGGTGTCCCCTATAGGAATCCTCCATTCATTGGGATTCGAAACAACCACGAGAATCACGAGATGTTTGTTGGAATTCTTGGCGCAGGATTCAACTCTGAGAGCCGTAGATGAATGAAACTTCTCAGCCTTTACTCTTCATCCTGTCCCTGGGATGTTTTTATACCCTCATACATGCATACATATATATATATATGTTACATGTGCATATAAACAATATTACTCTACAGACGTAATATGACATGACATAACTACATGTTCTACACACACACATACATTTATATATATTTTATAGATAGATAAATAGATAGATAGGTAGATAGATAGATTCATATTTTTTGTATATCATGTTTCTATCACGTCTTTGCATATCAGTTATTGTTACTTGGTGCTTGGTCGCCGCTCAGCCGCCGGGCTCGTCCTTCCGCGGAGCTCTGGCAAAACAAGGCCGGGGATCGCGGACGACGCGACGCGACGACGCGGCATGGGATCCTAAAGGATGTCCCCATGGGAAGTCTCACCGCAGATGAACTGGCGGCTCAGGCAGCGCGCAGGGTTGGGGGATTGGTGTTAATGATTGGAGAGGTGTGATGGGAAGCTGGCAGAGTTGGCCCACATTGGCTGAATGGAATTGCACTTGGGCGGAACTAAGGACAGAGACAGAGATATGCAAAATTTGATGGCGTTCAATCCTTTACAGTTGTGTGCCCACTCATTTCATGAAGTTGAGTTGGATTCTTATGGATTCCTACGCCTTAAGTGACCATCAAAAACATCCAACACCGTGCACATTTGTCTTCCCAGAATTGGTGGGAAGTCTTGCTGGAACGCCCTATGATTGCGGGTCAAAAATCGTGGAAAATCGTGGTTAATGGTCCATCAGGTCCATCATTCACTGCTGAACTTTCCCATGTTTGATGGTGAAATCCGCGACGCATCCCCCATTTTGAATGGCTGAACGAGGTGAAATTCTGGAAAATCATGTGAAATTTCAGCCCAAGAATCATAAGAATCTCTTCCCATGTTCAAATGTGTAATCCATCCATTTCTCCATGGATTTCTCCATGGATTTCTCAGCATTTTTCGCCGCAGGTGGTTCATGCCCATTGCCAGCAGAAGTTGGATGCCGCCAGGGAGCAGTTGGAAACAGTCTGGGAGGAGGTCTTGCAGCAGGTGCGGGGCCGCATGGCTGGGCAGTTAGGGGAGAGTTACATGTTGGATTTTCATATGGAATGTGTGGGATCTTAAAGGGATTTCATGGGATTTTATGATTTTTTAATACCCATAGGATCCATGTATGCTATATATGGTAACATTTACCATATTTTACTATCAATATACCCCAAATGTTAGCATATATACCATACATGGATCCTATGGGATAGGAATTCAATGGGATTTTATAATGTTTTTGTTAGTGACATTTGATGGAATGCCCATGGGACTGTAATACGTGGATTTCATTGGATTTTAAAACGGTTTTTCTGTGAATGTTCATGGGATCTACATGGAACCATATTTACATATATATATATATATATATATGGTATGGTTGATGGTTTGGAACATGTTTTATTTTTCCATATATTGGGAATGTCATCATCCCAACTGACTTTCATATGTTTCAGATGGGTTTTCTTTAACCATCAACCAGATATGATATATAGAAATAAACGCTTTTTTAAGTGGATTTGAAGTGTATTTTACTGGGATTCATCCAGAAAATACCAACGCATGGTATAGTTATGGGATTCATCCAATCATCCAATGCCTGGTCCAGCCGAGTTGCGGTGGGCTACAAAGGTGTGATCTACATTCTGTTAGGGCTTCAAGGGCTTCTAGGAGGTATCCAAGATTTGGGGAATGGATTAGTTGGTTTTTAATTGGAGTGGGTTGGAAACCAGTTGATTTACTTTAGGATACCTCCTGCGGGTTTTTGAACTAATCTATATATTTCAGTTCGGAACATTTTTTTCTCACCAACCAGCAGCAAGGGATATAATAATTGGATGAGATATTCTAAGTATTTCCAGATGATTCCAGGTCTGTCGAAAGATGTGGAAATACTAAAGATTCCATGAAAGAATGTGCTTGCTAGCTGTAATTGCACAGCTACACACAGCTACACCATGATGGATTCAATTCCAATGACTGCAGGATCTTTGCAACCTGTCCGGTGGGAGGAAAAAAACACGTGATGACCATCATTCATTGACACCTGAAGACCATGAATTGGCACTTTCCTCCCCACTGAAAAATCATGTGCGACAAAGACAGAAGGATATCAAAGCTCGCTATACAGCGGTTCATGCATAATTTCATGTATAATTTCTATGCGTTTTGCGATGATGATGATCCTAACATAGATCCCATTGAAACATACATGGCGTGCAAATGCAAAAAAAATAGCAGAAAGGGACAGCTGCCTTCTTGTTCGCCTGATTCTTTAGGTGGTCCAGATGGAGTTCGTGTCCTCCTTAGCAGATGCCGTTAAGGCCAGAGCGGATGAGGGCAGCGGATGTGGCAAACATGTGGCGCACAGCTGGATATACAACAACATACCCTCTGGTAAACATACAAAAAAAATATGCAAGATCACCACTTTAATAATTAGATAAGTCAACTAACTATTTCTTTGGGCCATTTTCAATAGCAAACTCTTAGTTTACCGGAGGGTATATATATATATATAAAGCATACAGTGGAATTTTAACGTGGCAACAATGCGACCTTCTCTAGCTGTTTTTCCTGCGATATCCGAAACACCCCTGCAGCCCCTTTTTTGGGGCTCAAAAAGTCACCGAAATCAACCTCCATCTGACAGCGTTGGACTCATGCGGCTGGTTTCCAGCAGGGGCGGGCTCAGGGGAGGGCAGTTGACACGATATATCGGATGACCATCCGAAAGGTTGATCGCCTACGACTTGATGGAGTTTTCCATGGGAGTGTGTAAAATTGGGAATGTTGGTGTTACTGTCATTGTTTCCATTTTGCCATGAATTGTTTAAAGAACTTGTAGATCAGCACAGTGTCCTCGACCATGTCAGGCTGTTTCCTTGCAGGTCCCATTTATGGCAACAGGCACGTCCAATATCCTAAAATATCCTAAGTTTTTTGATATGGCAATGTCATTTATTGATGCTGAGGGTGAGTCATTGATGTTTGACCCCACTGCGGCGACCCCAGAACAATCGAACCATCTCGAAACGATGGTGGGTTGGCATCCCCATGATATCAAATCCTACCAATGATTTCCGCCAAAAAGTTCTGGGTTTGCGAAGAGTGATGGACCCAATGGACCCCATCCCCTTTCCGCTCAGATTGCACCGAAAACCGGATTTAGTATGGGATATTATTGGGTCCAATCTCAACCCCGGATTTATCAAAAATGTTTGGGTGATCCAAAAGTGATCATTTGCTACTCGACTGAAATGGCACCCCCCAATCGCTCACAAGGTTGTTGAATCAACTGTGACATTCTTCATTTAGGGTCCCATTGGTAGTTGCACATTGGACTTATCTAAGCTGGACGGGATTTGTCATAAGACCACCTTTGTGGTGCTGATGTCATAGCTGGATCTTATTTCAAGGGAGCACCAAGGACAGAACATGGTGAGGCGGCTCCACTGGCAGCCAGAGTGCACCACACCAAGCGCTCGGAGTTTCTTTTCTACCTTTTTCTTCCGGTCACTGGGTATGACACAGGGTGGCCAAAACTCCGACGTGTCGTTGCCTAATGTTGCTTCTATTGGCCGCCTTTTTAAAGTGCCAAAGTTGGAATTGCCGGACTATGATGTTCTTTTTGTTGACGAATCTTGTGGTGGTGTTACCCATTGGTTTGTGGGTCTTTGAGGCCCCACATTACATCAACTCAGGTTTTGACATGACTGTCACACTGGCTGTCACACCATCCCAAAGTGCCTAGCAATGTGGGGCCACGAAGATTGAATACAAAATGGCAGCTTTCAACAAAATGAACCAGTTTTTTGTGGCCCCCATGAGTTTTCAGCCCTGAATTGAATGATATTGAATGAGAGGCAGGTAGGTCCGCAAAGCCAGACGAAAACAATCATAAAATTGCCATTTCATTCATTGAACTTTTTTTTCCGATATGCAGAAGGTATGACCAACCTTGATTTCCATCTTTAGTTTTCGCAGGTGCATACATCTCCATTATTTGCCTGGGATTGGACACTCAGGCAGTTGTGATCACACTCTCGACTTCGCTAATTCGTATCAATCAGAGTCTCGGCAGTGATGACCCCTTCTTCTTCGGAAGAAGCTGCCTCAAAGGGATTATTTTTTTAGAAACTATACCTGGGATATGTATATATATATATATGAATATAGGGGTTTCCTAAATTAGGGGTACCATGGCCATGGGGTACCCCCCCCTAATCATCCATTTATAAATAGATTTTCCATTATAAACCATCAATTTTTGGGTACCCCCCATTTATGGAAACCTTCATTCATATGTTGTTGTTTTTTTTTTCAATCTTCAGGACAACTCGGATTCAGAGTGTGTTTAGCGTGATGCTATTTGGTAATTTAGCAATGTGCTATGATATAGCTAGCCCATTCAGTGCGATGATTGACCTGAATTTACTTGAATTTACCTCAGAAATTGTGATTTCTATACCCATATGCTCCATGGTGCTGGAATATTTACCAACATTTTCCCTAAAAGTCACCCAGTTATGTAGGTAAATATACCAGCACCATGGATCCTATGGGATATAGAAAACTGTTATATAAATTAACGGATTGTAGCCATTTAAGGGTCGTTTCTTGTGTCCGATCCTTGGTGAAATGTGGGGTCATTCGCTGGTGCTGAGGATGCTGATGGCAAAAGAGCATTTTCCTTATCCCTTTGTCTTGGTGTCTGGCCGTCAGTTTCAAGTTTCAAATGTGGTAAACCTTTGGTGCTAAACAATCCCAATGGGGTTACAAAAATGGTTATTTTAATGAACATAAATGGGTGAAACCATCACTAAAATCTTCAAATATGAGGGATTTTCCATGGCAATGAAAAATAACCAGATGGTAAACCCAATAAACCTAACATTTGGGGATGGTTTATATCACCCATTAATTGTCAATGCGGTTTACCACATTACTGTAGTTCTCCTACCATTTTTGTTGAGACATTTTATCTGACTGTAAAGAGGACTGTTTTCCGAACCCAGCAATACAAGATCAAATAAATTCAGCAAGCCGGCTGCCTATCTTTGTCATGTATCATCAGGATGGATCAGAACCTATATGAAAGACCATTCTTGGAGGGATGCACATACTTAATTCCATCTATGTTGCTGTGAGCTGCAGGGGGTTCCTATGGATTCCTATGGTGTCGTGATGCATAGCCAGGTGATTCTGCACTGTTATTTTTGCACTCTCTTCGCTCTGATTTTGCTGTGGCTCCGCCCCGGCTTGTTTCCTGCCTTGAGAGATCCGGATAAGAAGGTAGAGCTCTCTCTCCGTTTCTTGGCAACGGAACTTGGATGCTGGAAATTTGGTAGATCAAACACTTGCAGGTGCAAAACTGGGGTACAGGGCATGCGGAATGGGATTTTCATCCTCACAAGCTGGCCCTGGAAGTATGGTGGAACCGCAGCACAAAAAGTTGAATGAAAGCTATGGTTTGCAGGCCATGCAGGCTCCATATGGGAAAAGGGTACTGGGTACTTATGGTAATCATTGGTGGGTTGACCACGGCGTTTTTTTTTTTTGGACCAAGGCACTTGTTGCTGCCTTCCAGATCTTCCAGGCGAGGAACAGCGGAAGATTACCTTGTTTCAGACACAGACACACGCTCTTACACGGAAGACTGGTCCTTTTACATTGTTTTATTGTACAATTGGCTGGTTGGTGATTTCAACCCTTTGGATTTTGCAGCCTTTCTAGAGAGATGATTTGAAGTTCCTTCAGTTCATTGCCACATCCCAGAAATCGGTCAAGAGCCAAGACAATCTCAGATTCCCAATGGCTAAGCCACTCATCCCCAGTAAAAAAGGTACCATAGACGACTCCCCTTTTCGATGTTTGAGCATTTTAGACGACTCCAATGGTCCAAGGCTGCTACATTACCTCAATTCTTCCCATTGCGTTGTGCTTCACCGTTTCGTTGGTCCTGTCCAACCTGGCCTACAAGTACTGCACTGTGGCCTTTCTTCAGATGATCAAAGAGGGCCTCCTGGCCGGAAGCGGCCGTTTTTCGGTGCATCGCAGTGGATCAAAGGTGATTTGCCAATTTCAGTACCACGGACGGTCAATAATATAATAGATAAAATAATATGATGTGATATGAATATAGCATAATATTTTGGTTACATCATATATTATATTATATTACATTATATTATATTATTGTATTTGATTGTACTATATTAATTTATATTATTATATATTATGTTATTTTTCTTTGTTATATATTAGAATATATATATATATATATTACATTTGCTTATATATTATTATATATGTATTTTACTATATATTATGTATAATATTGTTTATTATTATAAATTGTATTATTTAACATTCTTACATATTATAGTATAATAATAAATTTTATTAAAATGTATTATATTGTATTAAATTATATTATATTATAATGTTATATTGTATTATATTATATTATATTATATTAAAATCATATTTTATTTATACTCGTATAGAAAATTGATTTATAGTTGGGTCATAAACTGCATGGTTATTATGTTGTTCTAATTCTAAATGCTATATGCACATGTTAGAATAGTTGGAAATTCAACATTGTCTGAGGTAACATCATGGTGATCTTCGCCATGACTTACGCCTTCGGCATCGAGACCTTCGAATGGACGAAGGTTTCCCTGTGGAATATCCTTTATTTTTGGAATCGGAAATGTCTGATTTTGAGGAGGCCCCTGGTAAGCAATTCCAAGATGTCAGAAAACAAGAAGGCATTGTTTTTCTGGCGTATCCTTCAGGAAGTCGATGTTAGGATATGTTTAAACACAGCAAGTTGGTTAAACGCTGGAGAGCACCCAAGCAACACAAATTGTGTTGCCATCAAGCCGGCGGAAAACTCAATGGATTTTTGTTTTCCATGTTGGATGGGAACATTTACCCTCCTGTAAACATTTATAGATGTGGAAAACCCCTGGTTTTGTTTACAATTTGTCGGAAAATTCTCTATTTTATTGTTTATTCTCCACATCTACATTAGTTCACCCTAGGCTACCCGGCAACTTTCATCGACTAAAAAAATGTGTTACCATTTTGATTTATTTTGGATGGAATATCTACCAGCAAGGGGTCTCAAATTGGCCATGAAAAAAAAAAACACTGCCAGTTGGGCATCCTCTTAGTGATGCTGTTTGCAACTTGGAGCTGTGTGGATGGCGAGCTGTACCCTGGCAGCGGTGACCAGATGGTTTGGACTGGCGATGGATAGCTCTGGTAAGTAACCATAGGAAAACCATAGGGCAACCATAGGACAACCATGGGAAAATGGAGGTTTACTCTCTGGTAAACTAACATAACTATGGAAAATCAATGAAAATCACAATTTTTAATCGGTAAATCAATTGTAAATGGATATAAATGAAACTAGTTTTGGCCTGGCAGCCCACAATGTTGCAGCTGTTTCGATCCGTTTTACCCTGTGATGGAGGACCCCAGAATCATCCAAGATTTGAATCTCCATGCGGGGTTGCTCCAAGCTATTACCCATAGGATCCATGTATGCTATATATGGTAACATTTGGGGTATATTGATGGTAAAATATGGTAAATGTTACCATAAATAGCAGCACCATGGATCCTATGGGTATTACTGTACAGGCAAATTGTTGCTAGAAGGGTGGCAACTGAATTTTGATTTTTTCCATTCATTTTTTTTTTGCATCTGAATTTGGCAACTTGTCCACAATTTTTCCCCACGCATGTTTGGGATATTGGGAGCATGCCTGTCTATTTGCTTTGGGGTGTGCTTCCAGTTATTTATCGAAGGAAGTTTAAAAATCTCATTTCCGACAACATGGACAGATGGAAAAGCAGAGGTGGGAAGAGTCAGAGAAGAGAAAGGAAGAAGAGCGAAGATCAGAAAAGAGAAAGAGTAAGTCGAAAGAAGATCAAGGTGTGTGAAACGATTTTTCTATATATATTTAATAATGTTGGATCCTGATTAGCGTCGGGCCCCCCCTCCCTTAACAATTTTTAGGTCCTCTTTAATGTGGATTTTTTCCAGATTTCAATCCTGAATAGTGCGTGATCAAAAAAAATGATAGATTTCAATTGATTTTCAATTGAGTTCAATTTACGTTCAATTGATTTTCAATTGAGTTCAATTTACTTTCAAGTGATTTCAATTTACCTTCAATTTACTTTCAATTGATTTCAGTTTACTTTCAACTGATTTTCAAACGTAAGTTCCATTGATTTCAATTTACTTTCAATTTATTCTTACTTTACTTTCAATTGTTTTTCAATTGATTTCAAGTTACGTTCAATTGATTTTCAACTGGTGCCAACTTACTTTCAATTGTTTATTCAATTGATTTCAATTTAGTTTGAATTTATTTTCAATTGATTTCAACTTACTTTCAATTGACATCCGATAGTAATACCATAGACATATCATAGAAATATCATGGAACCCCCACAAGAATCCCACAGAAACCCCATAGAAGATCATAGAAATAACATGGAATAGCATAGGAACCACAAAGAAATTCCATAAATAATTCCCATAGTAATCCCATAGAAATACCATAGAAACATCATGGAAATACCTTGGAAATCCCACAGGATTCCCACAGGAATCCAATAGAAACATCATAGAAATATCATAGAAACATCATAGGAATACCATAGAAATCCCATAGGAATCCAATGGCAATCCCATAAGAATACCATAGAATTCCCATAGCATCCTTCAGAAATCCCATAGAAATCCTCCAGAAATATCATAGAAACATCATGGAAACTCCATAGAAATCCAATAGGAATACCATAGAAATACCATACAAGAAAACAACTTTAGCAAAGGAAAAGGTAAAGGGAATGTTTGAAAACAAAAATCACCTCAGGAAGCAGCTGGACACGATAGTGGACCCCCCAAAACAAACATACCATTGTGGATCAGGGTTCTCATGGACTACCTACCCTGTTGAAAAATTGTTTGGATGCTGTTTTTTTTTAATTGGTTTTAATAAGGCACCATATTATTTAGGGAAATTGGGCATTTCTGAGAATTTCCAGTGAAAGAAACTAAGAAAGTAAAAGAAAAAAACTTTAGCAAAGGAAAAGGTAAAAGGAATGTTTGACAAAACAATCACCTCAGGAAGCAGCTGGGCACAATAGTGGACCCCCAAAACAAACATACAATTTTGGATCAGGGTTGCTCATGGAGTACCCCCTTGAACAATTGTTTGGATGCTGTTTTCTTTAATTGGTTTTAACAAGGCATCCTATATATATATTTATTTTTTCTCCTGATGGGTCACAATTAACCTTTAAAAAATGTTTCTTCAGACAGCAGCTAGACACAATAGTGGATCCCCACAGCAAACATATTATTTAGGATCAATATTGTTCATGCAAAACAACATTTGTTTACTTACAAAATAACTTTAAAACATAAACAAATAATTACAACATATCAAAACTTGAAATAAATTAATCAACAAGATAAACAAAAAGTTAAAACAATTCAAAACAAAACTGAAAAACTTACCCCAAAAAAGTGAACCCCCCCATCATTTCCACAGATCCAGAATTATTTTGGAGTCTGGGGACACAATAGTGTACCCCCACACTAATCAGGAGCCAACATTATGTGTAAATATACAGATGCTAGTCACTTTCAACTGGAAATGCACCCCAAGTGAAGGCTCGAAATTCCGAGGAATTTCAACATCGCGGGCTTCCTGGTTCAAGTGACTGCCGGCGTGTGCGAGGCCACGAAAACCATCCTGCAATCCTTGCTGTTGGCAGGCCGCTGGAGCTGGTGAATCTGTGCTCAGCCAACATCCCCAACCAACTGGATGGGTATTTCTGATCCTCTAATCTTATTGCTATATAAAGGAAAATAAGAAAATAACCAGCAATATGCATATATATATATGTATGTATGTGTGTGTGGACTACCAGAAATTGTTCGTGCAAATGGCGATGGAGGGAGAGGGAGAGAGAGAGAGAGAGAGAAACATCAAGCATATGGCAGAGTAAAAATAGGGATTAAACACCAAAAACGGTGATACCATATATAGAGGTTGTGACGGGATATGATTGGGTTCATGCGGACAAGTTTTAACAACAATCACGTCGCGATGTCACAAAAAATAATGGTTGGGGTGTATGGGAATTTACGAGGGTCAAAGGCCGAACATTTCAGGTTGGTAAATTGCTACAATTTATCCAGAATAATGGGGATAAACAACCAATTACAATTAGAATATATTAGAATACGTTATTATTGTTGGTACCCTCTGGTAAACAAACATAGCTATGGAAAATCACCATCTTTAATGGGAAAATCCACTATAAATGGTCATTTTCAATAGCTATGTTAAATTACCAGAGGGTATATGTCACCAACTTCATATGGTATGACTGGGTGTGTTTGAAATGTGTGCGTCTACTCCCGTTTCACAACCCAACTTGAATATTTTCACATGTTGATCATGCATTGGAATTGAGGGTACCAGGTTACCAGTACCCTATCTTCAGAGATTCACCCATGTGGTGAATCTGTTGCTTATGAAACTACAATAAACTACCACATATATATATATATATGTGTGTGTGTGCCCTTAGATGTAAGTTGTGTTTTTTTTGTAATTTGCGTATGTAATTTTAGAACGTTGTTTAAGTATATTCATATATGTTCAACTACATAGTGTAATTCATGTTAAACTTCTAACCACAGATAGGGAAATATAAGGTGAAATAGGACATATGTCAAACAAAAAGCAAAGATTAAAAAAAATGACGAAATACCTGTTGTTTGGCATTGAAACCGATGTTCGTCACTACAGGGACAGTTTTCCACCTCAAACGAAACACTTTTGTTTGCAAACATGGTTGCGGCTGCAAATTTGACATGCATAGACTGTCTAGATTTTTCAGCCTGAGACGATGTTAGGACCCTTTGCAGTGTTTTTTGCTTAAGGTTATACTTTTAGGATGTGTTTCCTCATGTTTCCTCAAAACTACGGACACGCGCATGTGTTGCCCCCATTGACATGCATTCTCATAAGGGAACCTCTGTGTGTGCGTGTGCGTGTTTCATATCCAACCCCCAAAATGCCACGAAGCGCGTATGTCATGTGTGAAAAATAACATGTTAAAACATGTGTTTTCTTGTGTTTCTTACAAGATGCTCTCGGCAGAAGTTCCTAAAACCGCAACCTGCGTGGACCAATGCCACTGCGGAAGTACAGTCATGTTTAAAAACCATGAACACCTTTACCATGTCAAAGAAAAAATCACGGAAACAAAAACAAAAAAACGTGGAGCGGCTAAGACCGTCCTAAAAGCAAGACTCACATCGGAAAATTAGAAAAACAACATTTAACATGAATCAACAACAACAACAGCAACAACAACAACAAAAACCAGATAAGTTAAAATATAAATGCTAGCAGGCTAGCGTAACAAAAAATCAACAACAAATTTCCCAAGGCGTCCTTTTACAAGTCCCGGTAAGTCCAACTTAACTCAGGTCACAACCGTACAATAATGTTCGATCTTGGGTAGCACAATACTCATTTGAAATTACCAGCAGCTGTGATTCCCCAACGACGCAAGAGTCATGATCAAGTCCATTTGCCAAAGTAGTGTGCCTGGAATTTGCTGCTTTGCTTGGAAACAGACGGCGCGCCAACACACCAATTTACCTCCATTGTTTCAAAGGCGAATGGAGGAGCAAAAACTTTTGAAACTTTGTTTGGATACTTCTAGAAGATTTTTTTTACAGTAAACCAGTTTCTTTTTTTTTTGCGGTGCAGAATCTGAGATAATCTGAGGCTCGGGTCTGCCAACCAAAACAATATCCCAACAGGAACTTCCCGGGTGTTCCAAGAAGGTGAAACGGTGAAACGGTGAAACTGAGCCAGGCAAAGGATTCAAGCTGGATCCTATGTCCATGGTTTTAACCTTGATGCCTATGTGTGGACTGCTATTGTCTGGTGTGTTGCTGGGCTGAATGGTCAACGTGAACGGAATCACCACTGGAATTCCTGGGGTAGTTCTGCTGATTTGACCAATTTGATGCTTGACGAACGGAATTTGACTGGATTAAGGAGCAGGGAAGCAGCCTGTCTCGCTTACAGGGCTGTCATGAGATGAAATTGACGGGGGCTTCAGTGATCATGGGCACCAAGCTCTGGGAGTTATATCAGCTAATCTGGGTCTCAACCGCCTCAACCCCCTGATAATTTGATATCCAACCAGTTTTAGATGTTTTAGGGTTTTCACCCAACCCACCAATTCCATGTGTTTTTTTGATTTAAGCTGCCTTGGATGTTTACAGAGGAACATCAGGAACCATGATGTTACGATGACCTTTCCGGTTATAGGATGTCTAAATTGGTCGGTACAACAATGTAAAATCCCATGTTTGTTGGCAAAATCTGGTATCTATTATTGTCATGTGATTTTTCCCATATATTTGAAGGTAAGAAAAAAACCCATGGTTTCCTGAATTTCAAAGCCAACGTCCAGCCATCGTTGAGAAAATTGATACCCTCTGGTAAACTTACATAGCTATAGAAAATCACCATTTTGAATGGGAAAATCCACTATTTCAATGGTCATTTTCAATAGCAAACTGTTAAATTACCAGAGGGTATGTCCAATCCTCTATGGCAATTACTTTGGGATCTTTGGGGGCCACCCCAGCTCCAGCTTTCCGTGTTGATCACATCACCATTTCAATGCCTTCCAGAAAATCCCAGCTCAGTTGTTAACGCCACTATTTATAGTGATGTTAGCTCATATTCAATATAAACATATTTAAACCCCAATCAGTGGCGGTTTTTTGAAGAATTACTGTATATGCCCAATATTTCTTCAAAACCCCCATATGTTTCACATTAAATTCGTCAAAGAATGCACAACTCCCCATCTCCGTCTCCATAAGTTCTACGGGTCTTCTATGGCCTGGCTAAGACAGGTCTTCTATAGCCTAGCTAAAAATCACTAAAAACCAACTACAAGTCCAGTCCAAAAAGGACACCTACAATCTTTCGTTTACAACGGCCCTTGATCCATCGGTGTGCTCCCAGGTTGATCTTCCACATCTTGCTGCTGCCCTTGAACTTCGTGAAACTCCCCAGTTGGGACGAGGTCTGGGCGTGGCGGGTCCTCTTAGCCGCCAGCATTTGCAACGCCTTTGCCCTTCGGCTGCGTCAGAAACAGGTCGAGATGGGCCATATGGGCCCCTGAGAGAGAGAACTCCAAGGAGTTTTAAATTGAGAAATTGAGAAACAGCGGTATAGAATGGTATAGATACCTGTATCACAATATAATCATTATATCACCCTAAATTTTAAATCAGGTTTGTTTCATGCGATGGGTTGAGATTCTGTAGCCCTTTTGACAATGCTGATGCTTCAGTACCCGGTACCCTTCAGAATCCAGTAAACTAATCCAATGATGGCATGGTTGATCTCCCATGCCGCCTGATGAAACATGTTGAAACCCTGTTTGTTTTGAAGATCAACATCTTCCCATTCCCATAGGATCCATGGTGCTGCTATCTATGGTAACATTTACCATCAATATACCCCAGTCATGTTAGCATATATACCATACATGGATCCGTCATGGGATTTTGAATAATGGCCATAGATTCGGAATAAGATCCCAATCCATTGGTCTGAAAAGCGGAGACAGGCTGGGCAAAACTGCTTTCCCGCTGAGGTGCTGAATGTAGCCATTGCAGTGTTCCTGAAGTATCTCTCACCAGTGGTGTATGTCCTGACAGGCTCGGCCGACAGGGATCGACTCGATTCATTTCTCTTAAGTCACTTTTCGTTATGTGGCGACGTGTCACTGTTCGAACACTGGATGGTTAGGATTGGGGGGAATGATCCTCAAGATAGCATTATTACAGGTAGTGAAAATACTGGTTGGTGGTTTGAAACATGTTTTATTTTTCCATATATTGGGAATAATGATCCCAATTGACTCATATTTTTCAGAGGGGTAGGTCAACCACCAACCAGAAAAAAATCTGGTAGTGAAATATCTTTGTTTGCCCTGATCATTTTATGCCCAAATATATCTATCGTATTTCAACATCATACAAACACATCCCCAGAGATGCGAAAATAGATGATGCTTTCCGTTGGTTAGCCCACGAAACTTCTTTACCGGAGTCACATGAGTTGGATGTTAAACACATACCCATAGATTCCGAATCGATGGTCCATGAAAAAAAAACGCCAGCATTCACCGGCCACAATTTTCTGGGGATCCCTGTGAAATTTACCCTCTGGTAATTTAACAGTTTGCTATTGAAAATGGTGATTAATAGTTGATTTTCCCATTAAACATGGTGATTTTCAATAGCTATGTTGAATTACCAGAGGGTAGCCCAAACAAAAATAATGGCCTTGCTCTTTCTATGGTCGGTAGCAACCCATTTTTCCAATGTTGGGTTGCTGGGTACCTTGGCTGACTCCAGGAAACATCAAGGACATAGTGGTGGTCTGCATGTCAGCCTTTCTGATCGGCGAACCTATCAGCTCCTTGCAGATCCTGGGCTTCAGCACGCAGGTGCTTTGCGTCTTCGCGTGGACGAGCTACAAGCACAACGGCCAGTTGGTCCCCAAGGCTCCTGGACAGAAAGAAAAAAACCATCGAAATGGCTATGGCTATGGCGGCTATGGGATGATGGTGGCTGATGTTGTCATGGTAGTAATGATGGATCAGAATCCTTCGTACTGGTTGCGCGGTGCTTAGTAGTAATTTAAATACATTCAGGGTCAGTGAGTCAGTGATGGTTTTCATAGGAAATTACTTGTATTCAGACGGAAAGTCAATATTTAATAGTGCTTAATAGTGGTTAATGAATGTTAATATTGCGTATAAATTAATGGGCAATATGTTGGGCAATGGTTGGTAATGGTTAGTGATGTTTAATACTGGCCGGTGATCCTAGAAAACCTACTCCGGTTTTAATCGCCCATGGCCGCCTGGCGAATCAAACATGGCACTGGAACATCTCCCTGTTGATGATTTGCCGATTTGAATGCTCCGTTTGGTTTGGGGATTGCCCATGGGCATGCTTGATTATCGGAGGTTATACCCGTTCCCCCATTGCAATGGGGATCAAATGATCAGCAAGTAGTGGATTCAAGGGTTTTCCCTGCCCTACATGTTCAGACAAGAAGCTATATATATATATGTGTGTTTTTTTCACTGGGCCGGACTGAGACGAGAACAGATGTTTGTCGCTGCTCAGGAACTTCTATTAGAGGCCTTCGAAGCAGAATCTTGGGCTATGCTGAAGCTGTAGGGCTAAAATGCATGGGCAATTGGAGATTTCTATTAAGGGGTCATCTACGGGGACTTTCCAGTTGAGCTTGAGAGCATGCAGACACACCACATCACGTTTATACATGTTTTTTTTATTTATTCCAGTACCGTTCTAAATGAAGGCTGTTGCTGTTTTGTTTTTTTCCATCAGGCCCGAATGAAGGTCAAGAAGTCGCATGTGAGACAACACACATGTTTGAGGTCTCGACTGATTCTGTTGATTACATATTACAACCTATTTTTGCACACGCACACGCACACAGACACACACACACACACCAAGTCTCACATGACATGCATTGATATTGATGATTCTTTCTGAATCAGTTGCACAAGTATGACTGGGTTGTTACCGGAGGTTCTCCCAAAATCTCTCCATTATGCTGGGGCCGAGCATGGGGTGCGCCCAAGGAGAAGAACCCTGAGTCCATTGAAGCCTTGAAATGAAACCTTGAACCTCCGTGCGATGGATCAAAATGGGTGGAACTTACCGGGAGACGCCCAATTTGTGGAACATTTTGCACGTGGTCTTGGCATTTTATAAGACCTTCAACCGAGAATAAACGAGAAATACTGTGGTGTTATGTGTATGTGTTTGTTTTGAAAAGGGACACTGATCTCACTCCTCCTAATCATCAGCATCATCAAGAAAATATATAGTCGAATTAATAGAAAAAAAAACTAAGATGGAGAAATAATAAGAATAATAGTAAACAAAATGATATGTTAATGATTATGCTACTACAAATAAATACAAATAATAGTAATGACATGTTATGACTATGACCATCATGTGTTTCCTCCCTTGGGCCTCGCTAGGCTCGCAACACTTTGGCACTCGTGGAGGCGACGCTACGCTTGAACGCCACCGGAAACACGGTGACAGCCTTGGTGCAACGCCTCGTATTTCAGGCGGGCCCGTGGGCTGCAAGAATTGAAGTCAAGGGGATATGACGGACACCATAGCAAAATGAATCTCATCCTAATATTAAACATGCCTCAAGAAACGATGGTATATTTGGAGAAATTTTAGGTGGTGTTTCATATTAGGCGGAAGGAAGGGATTTAAAATGACCAAAAACACAGTATATAAATGAAATTTAAGTCTTCATCATTACCAAATATCAATGGGATGTATTAGACGTACCCAATTTAAAGATCCCAACTCATCTCCCTAATCTCTCGTTGGTGACCACCTTTGGGACCACCGTTAACGGGGCAGGCAAGTGTTCTTGAAGAAGCTTTCTTGGTGCGTGGCTTGGCCTTCGGCAGACATTTCGGCAGACTGTCATGGCTTGGTGAAATCGCATGGCCTGTGGCACATCCGGCAGATGATGTGCAGATAATGGGAAAATCCATGAAAATCCACTATTTCTATGGCCATTTTCAATAGCTTTTTGTATGTTTACCAGAGGGTAATTGAAGTGTTTTTTTTCAGAAGCACCATCTCAATTTCGTATCAACTGTGTTTCAGCAGCATTTCTCAGTCCTTCTCTGTATAGACGAGCCTGTGGCCGCTGTCGTAGCGTGACGAAGCTCCATTGGGATGTGGTTCTGGGGATACCCCCTCCCCAGTTTCATGGGGATTTCCATAAATGGGGGTACCCTCTGGTAAACGTTTACATAACTATGGAAAATCACAATTTTCAATGGGTAAATCCACTATAAATGGCCCATGTTCAATAGCTATGTTAAATTACCGGAGGGTACCCCAATGGATGGCTTATAATTAATGGAACATCTTATTGCAATGGATGATTTGGGGGTATCCCCATTTTAGGAAACCTCCAAATAAGCCCAAATATAGTTCTGGTTTAGGATTGGAGTTGCTCATTTTGGGGGCCCAATGTCGGGGTACCGTACTTAACATTCGGGTGATTACCACTGACATTCACTTGGATTTGGCATTTGTTGAATGTTTGAAAACCATAGAACACCTGTTAAAACATGTTAAAACAGTTTCTCCTTCAACAACCCCGGAATCATCCTGCAACTATCGTGGCTGCCAGGTCAGTCTATCATGCAGGCAGTGCTGGAGGGAAAGTTCGACGATATCGAACTGTGGGCCGAACAAGCTCAAACCTTGGGTGAGGACTTGGGGTTCTCTAAATGCGGCACGCGCACGAAGAAAATGAAGACATGTGGTTCAGTCTGTCACTGTGTGTCCAATGTTGTACGTTCTGCGTGCAATACATTGAGTATATATTTGGGTTCAGCAGGAGTCAAATTTGTTGACGTTGCATTGCGATGCACTGCGTAGTTTCAGAGAGAGGTGGATGAGGGAGATCCAATGTTGTGCCCAACCAAATTGAACCTTCACTTGCAGAGTCACCACTGGACAGGTTGTTTTTGGTAGACTCGTAGACCATGTCAGTATTTCGTCTCAAGACTTCAAAGCTTGGATTGAATATATCATAGCTTGAGTTCAAAATGGTATGTCACATGAACCATCACTGATCAAAGATCAGTCACCAGTCAGATCTAGGGTTAAAATTCTGATTGACATTTGAAGACTTACCCTCTGGTAAACTAACATAGCTATGGAAAATCACTATTTTTAATGGGTAAATCCACTATAAATGGCCATTTTCAATAGCTATGTTAGTTTACCAGAGGGTATCATCAGTTGTTTTGGGATATGCCCATCCTTGTCGGCTTGGAGTCGAACGGCGCAGTTTTTTCGTGCTACAATGTCTTCAGGTTTTTGCAAAACTAAAGGTGGTCGATGATTGCAGGTCCTTTATTAATGTGGTAAGGCCAATGATAAACCGACCCCAATTTCATTTGCAAACCCTCCATTATTGGATGTTTATTGCAGTCGCCGTACCATACAATCACATTACAACGTGTTCCCAGCTGCATTTGTTGGTTCGTTCACCCCCTGAACCCCCCAAGAAAACAACAACACACACTGTTGTAGGACCTGCATTTGGAGCTGGCGTATGCAGATCGCTTGCGACAGGCGGAAGATTCCAATGGGAAGCCGACCGGTCTAAGAAATTGTGATGACGACCTCAGAAAACCTGACCATAGACTACCATAGATGGTTTGTTGATGTGAGAAATCATTGCAAAAGTGCTTTGCTTTAGGATGAAGTGCACATTTGCTTTCCAGGTGTCTACATAGCATGCTCGGATTAAGCTTATTTTGGACAAATCAGCAGCGGATTCGGAGTCAAATGGATTGGACACGTCCATTCTTGGTTTTAAAAAGTCTTTGCCGGCAACTCTTCTGCTCATCAAAGTGGTGTCCTTGTGAAATGGACTTCCAAAAGAGACTGGCCATTTCAGGAACTCATTTATTGGAGGTACCTACCATATAAACAAGGTCTATATGTAAGGGATATGTAACCGAAATCACCAAAATCTAGCTTGATATGGTAGAGTTCCAGTAAATGGGTCCTAAACTCCCCCTGGATTCCCATTGATTTTCTGGACCCAACACGCCAACACGGCAAAACCCAACACGCATGCAGTGTGAGTTGCTATCCATTCTATATAATATCTGGTTGGTGGTTTGGAACCATGGAATTTTATGACTTTCCATGGAAATTTCATTATCCCATCTGACAAACTCCTATTTTTCAGAGGGGTAGGTATACCACCAACCACATCTATATATATATATATGTGTATATATATATATTACAGTGTGGAAGGCTATTTACATCTATCCCATTTGTTCCCATCTATTTTATCCACATGTATCTCATCCAACGTATTTTTGTTCAATATGTTCTATTCTTTTCTATCAAATCTCATCTAGTCTAGTCTAAATCTATAAAAACAAAAACAACAAGTTCATTGTAATTCGGGCCCATGTCCTATCCAATCCCATCCAATCCCCAGTTGCTTGTCCTTCTTGCAGGCCAGCCAGCAAACTTCCAAATCCTCTTCCTCCAGCTGGTCCACCGGCTCTCCAGACGATGACGCCGCCGGCGACCACGGGCGTGGAACCACTCGGGAGGAGCACTGCAAGGCTGGAGGGCTCGGGGGCTGGGAGGAACTGTGAGGAACGGCTACGAGTGGGTTCTAGAATGGTTACAATGTTATATAGATACATCTTATAGTTATTGGATGTTATTGGGATTGGCGTCCAGGTGGTGAGTTTGCCACGCGCTACTGTATATCTTTTTGGTCGTTTTTATTGGCAGTCCCCAAAGAATTGGAGGGGAAGATCCAAACTCATGCACTTGATATTGCCAAGGAGGATGGATTCGGCCAACACACAAGCAGCAGAATTGACTTAGATTGCAGGTTCCAACCAATGATTGGCTGATGGTTGCTGGGTAGTGAGCCTTCTATTAGCACATTGTTGTCAGCACCCAGGATCCAGAACCAACAAACCATAAACTTGTGGCTGAGATGGGTAGGCACCACAAATAACCCCTCTAGCAAAAGAGATGTGTTGGCTATGCCCCAGGATTCGTCGAAACACTCCTGGGACTGCAGCACCACGCATCCCCACTCCCCGCAATCCGCCGAGCCCACCCCGCGGCCGGAACCCGCGGAACCAGCGGAGCAGCAACGGCGCGATCCCGCGCCGTACGCTGCCAGTGGGGTGCAACTGAAACATGCCAAGTGGAGGGCAGCTGAGACACTCAGCATTGACTCAGCAGCCAATGGCTGTGATGGTTTTTGTGAAGTTTGGAATCTGGAAGGCCTAAAAAAAGGTGAAGCGAGGTGATTTGGGCTCAAAGCTTCAGAACATTTCTTCTTAGATTTAGGATGGAACCCATGTGACGTGATGTGGCAATAATTGACAATATGTGCCATATAGGTGCGTGGAATTTGTCTCGTGGGCACCGGTGCTCAAGAAATAAATGAGTAATTTTCTCTATTTGTAACATGGGTCAATTATATTTGAGAATTAATTCTTCATTTCCGTTCTTCCCAACGCTTGAAGCCCGTACTTCGGACCACTGAGGAGTGCAGAGATGCGGCATATTATATATCTACCCAAGTCCATCCAAGTCCCGGAATAGGCTGTAGTGATATGTTGTGGTCCCAATGGCTGTATCGACAACAGTCACTCAGTACCTAGTAGGACCTGCTTTGTCGGTCAACTAAGGCGGCCGGCAGAGGGGCCTTTTCCAGAGTCCAAGAGGTGCATGGGGGGGTGGCTTCTACAAGGGATTGGACAACCCAGTTTTCCATGTAAAGATGTCTAATGATTAGTCTAATGTTGGTAAAGCAATCATAAGCCATCTCGCAAAATCCCAAAATGTTGGGCTCTGATTAGTGTAGGCCCCCCCACCAAACAAATTGAGTACTCCACCAATAACTCGCGTTTTTTTGGCGACCAGGTCTGGGAAACTCAGGATGATCCAATCTATTAATCCATCTACTTTCAATTCAATTTATTTTCCTTTTAAACCTCAAAGAAATCTATTGATAAGAAAATATTTCAATTGAAATCAGTGTACTTACAATTCATTTGAATCTACTTTCAACTGATTGTTCCTTTGTTCACCTCAGCACGGGTTTCTCAGCTTGTGAAGGCTCAAATCCATCAAAAAGTAATAAAGTAATTAAAGTATTCAAAGGGACCAGCTGTATCCAAAAAAATGTAGATCAAGGTTTTTGTTTTTTTTTGTTCACTTCCAAAAGTTGTTGTGAACAATAGGGTACCATCCAAACAATTATATTATTGAGGATCTGAGCCATTCGCCATTCATGGGGTATGACCTTGAAAAAAATGTTTGGGTGCTGTTTTTCAATAAGGGTTTAGTAATGCATCTAATTATTTGGGGAAAGTAAATGGGCCAGCTTTACTCAAAGAAAGGTGGATAAAAGGTTTAGCTGGGAGGGACATGCAAATAATAAATGGTAATTATTTTTTTTCTTGGACCCTTTTTTTCCTCCTGAAAAAAATGGATCTCAGAAAAAACTTCTCACAGTAGAGCCCCACCCCAGACAAACGGCAAGATACTCAATTGGTAAGGGAAACAAATTCACAATAGGGAGCCAGGACATTAATTGGAGGCCAACATGAAATGGGTGCTATATGACTATATGGTGCTATAAACATCTATAAACCATCGAAATATGGCTGGTTTATCAGTGCTTTACAAACATGAAAAAAATCCGGCTGTGGGCCTCACAAGTTGCGGATTTGCCCCGTGTTGCTCAGGTGCTTTCCTGAGTCTGCCTCCTTTCCCCGCTTCACGGAATATGAGCAACGACGCGCCAAAGAACGCCGGAGTCCAGAGGCGCTAGTTCAACGTTGTCGGCGTTCCGGCGCGGAACGTTGACCTGGATATATTCAACAGCCCTCCGTAAACCATGGTTTAACAGGGGGATTTAGACATGTTTGGGAAAAAAAAGGGGGTGTTTTATATTATAGGGGGATGGCAACCTGCAAGTCCTACCCAAGTTCGAATGACCATGCAGGGTTTAGCTCATGTGTTTCTAGTTGATTGGTGAAGATGTTGACCTGAAGTAGAAAAAGAAGCAATGATGATTTGTTCAAATTAATGATCAGTATCATACATTGTTGCTATACATTGATTCTATGTGGTTTACATAAAACATTCCTGTATAGTCTAGTAACTAGTACTTGTTGAAGTTGGTATTTTATTGGTAGGACATGGATCCTCTTGATTTATGGCAGAAATGGCAGAACATGTCATTTTGGTCGGGCCCTCCAGTCTCTTGGGCCCAGGCGGATTGGGACTACCTTCAGGCAAAAGCAGAGCAGCAGCGCTACACCGCATTTCAGTCCCTTGGACGTTGATTTGCGCCATGCTTTGCCAGATGGTCAAGTTCCAAAAATGGTGTTTCATTGACATGTACTTTGCCACGGCTTCAGCCGTCCTTTCCCTCAAGTAACATACACTACACCAGCACAAGGCTCTGATTTTAAATGATTTGAACCCATTGAGCACGATCAGAAACTTTGGCTGCATTGAACGTATTTATTGGGTGCTATATAGGAGACTTTGACATGAGGATGAAGCTGGTGATTTCATGTTAAAACCATGTTAAATCATGTTAAACCACAGTGTTTGATATTTCCCACGGGGCAGCGCCAAGGCCCACCAAGGGCCCCCGCCCTGGCCGCCCGGCCAGCGCCCCAGCGCGTGGCCGCGAACGCGAGCCTGCGGGCGCGGGCCGCGCGGCGGCACATGCAGCCCATGCAACAGCCCAACGGACGGCTACGCGGGCGAAGGCACAAAGCCTCTTCGGAAGCTGGTGGAAGTACGGAGCCCTAGAGAGTCCTGGAGAGTTGACATTGGCAGTTCCAGCATGTTCCAGCTGACAAGTCCATCGTGGCCCCACCATCGTCGGCTTCTCTTCATCTACCGCATCCGGGCCTCGCATCCATTTCTTTGAGGAATTGACTACAGCCCTTGTATAAGTCAAAAAAGACATGTTTCGAAGTTATACGTGCACATTTATGTCTTTACACATGTACAGCTGGTAGTAGTAGTTTGGCCACCAGTGCGGACAGACATCATTTTGACAGAGGAAATCCAGAGATTTCCTTTTTAGTCCACCACCACCACCATCATCATCATCATCATCCTCCTCCTCCTCATCCTGATGCTCAGCCAAGCAACGTGTTTGTGAAACATAAAGCAAGACCAAACAAACAAGAAAAACAAAAATGACCGTAGAACAAACGCTGGATCGCCTTCAGTCTGTGGCTGAAGTCTTGGAGAGGGCGATGGAGAAGAAGGTTAAAGAACAAACAAACAAATACTAAGCCTAAGCAACAAATACACATGCTGGTAGAACATGGTAGGACTTTTTATACAATTATAATCGTGATAATATTATATATATATATTGTATTCTCTATAGGTGTATAGCCCAATAATTGTTAGCTATAAGTTGGATTTTAAATTTTTGAAAAATAAGTATGGTTTACAGTATGCCTCACTATGGTATGAATGAGGAACCAACCGCATGCAGCGCCTCAGGTCCTGGATGGGCGCCGCCAAGGATCCGCCGAGCGACTTCCCTCGGGACGTGCCCGGAGACCGCGGCGACCGCGGCGACCGTGGCGACCGCGGCGACCGCGCGGGGCGACGGCCGCGGGAGGAGAAGGGACGGCTGGTGTCGAAGGCGTGGGGGAGGATGGGGGTTGCTATGGGATTTTATAGGGTTTGACATGGGATGTTTTTTTTGGGGGGGAAATTAGATGATTTGATGGCATTTAGTGGGACTTAATATTGTTTGAAGATTTCAATGGATATTAACTTTCTACTTTGATATTATAGCATTGATTTTTGATATATTTTGATGTTAAGCCGATAAACCACCGCTTTATTAACAGGTGAGTGAGGGTACTAGTAGTTTATCGCTATTTTGGTGGTGGGCCGAACTAATCAGGGTTTTTATCCGGGGCTAACATTATTGTACGGGAATTCATATTTGGTTTATGTAATTGAAACCGGAATAACAATGTGGATTTCTCCAACGTCCACCCCCCCTGCAACTTGGATACATGTAAAAACCAAGCAACTACTGTAAACATTTGGTCAGGCCCTTGATTTTTGTCAAAAAGGATTGCTTATTTTAGCAACGATCAATGCTGCAATGAAATCCAAGTAGCCCAACCAAATCCAAGGGGACTGTAATCTGTAGTGGCCCTAAGCGTGCATTTGTGCAGATGTGCACCCCAACGGGTTAGACCCCAACGTTCATCCAAAGAGCCGGCCTCCTATCACCAGGGCTTTGCGAGCCCCTTTCTCATTGTTTCTAAGTCAAGCTGCTGTATACTGGTCATATATTGGCCATGTTCGTCAATGCTTTCCAGCTTTGTTCCTTCCCAGCCTTGCCACTACGCCACAGGTGGAGTGCCGCGAGAGCGACTTGATGATTTTGGGTTTCGCGCGCACTGCGAAGCCAACCCCGGAAGAGCTGAAGAAGGCTTACAAGGCCGGGAATCTCATCACAGCTACCGCTAGCTGAATGGAGCTATGGGTATTCTTTAGTATATACCCTCTGGTAATTTAACATAGCTATTGAAAATGGCAACAATTTATAGTGGATTTTCCCATTAAAAATGGTGATTTTCCATAGTTACGTTAGTTTACCAGAGGGTAAATGATTTAAATGGGGAAAAAAGGCACTATTCATTGAGTTTTCCAAGCAGTTAGAGTAATCAGGTGGTTGCTGAACTAGGTGAACCACAGCAACTCTTCTGGAGATGCTGCTGATATGAAATTTGGGAAGTTGGTGATATTTAGCCAATAAAGATGGCTGAAATATTATGCTCAGGAAATGGTAGAATGGTTTTGAAGGCGAGAGAGAGATAGGTGGATGGATGGAAGAATGGATGGATAGATAGATGGATAGATAAAGAGATAGTAACATAGTAAAAGAGATAAATACAGAGCGAGAGTCAGCGAGAGAGATAAACAAGTAACTTGGCTTGTTTTGCCTCGTGCAGTAAACTGCAAATGGGGACGGTCCAAGATGAAACACATGCCTCGATGGGCGGGATGACCGGCAGCAAGAAGGTACTCGAGGTGGCAGGCAAGAAGGTATGGTATTGTATGATATGTATGCAAAATAAGATCAAACAAGCACAAAATATAAGTATGTACCTTTGATATCTTTTGATTGAGCGTGTGTTGGTGGATTTTTGTTGGGAGCAGCCACTCAGCGGCTCAGCCACTCTAGCAGAGTGGGTGGCTGCTTCGATTCATCGTACCGTGCTCCTCATCTACTTGGGCTCGGACTCTTTTGAAAACATACCCTGCATGCATACGTCGAACATTTCACATGCAGTTATTTGACTTATGCATATGAAAATTATACATGATTACATGTACGTATTGAAGACGTGTTTTGTGTGTCTTTACTTGGTTGGTTTCAATTTCAGTAGGTTGGGTTTGTTGGGCTTGTCTACTTTGGACAACCATACCCGGACCATTGGATGCAATCAGGTGGCTTGAAATCCTGCCTCCCCGTTTGATGGACGGGGTCATCAGCCAGTTGATCAACCGTTGGGTTGATGGCAAATGGCAACCAGCTCTACCCTCTGGTAATTTAACATAGCTATTGAAAATGGCCATTTATAGTGAGTTTTCCCATTAAAAATGGTGATTTTCCATAGTTATGTTAGTTTACCAGAGGGTAACCTACTTTTCCAAACATGCGTTGCTTTCTGTCAACAATGATCCTTCCTCATCAGGACATCGATGCACCGTTTTTTTTTTTGCCAAGGACATCATCAATGATCCCAGGTGGTCGATATCACCAGCATAAAATCCAGGGTTTTTGGGATGGTGCCCCCATGGATATGGATCAAAATGAACACCCAAAATGGATGGTTCTTTTATAGATCTGAAACATGAGCAGCTGCTGGGTTTAAGGTCCGAACATGCACCACATAAAACATCATCCCTGATTTTTTCAGGGAACACCTGCAGGAATCCCCTGAGTTTGAGGTTTAAATTGAAACAATGGTGCTATAGCAGTATTTCTTCAACTCAACCATTAATCCATTGGCTCAATCCACCATTGTTGCTGGCTAGATCATCTTAAATCACTCTTTGGGCTGAAATCATTGACTCCTGTAGAGACATTATATCTATAGGATGCCCCCAAGAACCGCTATTCAATAGGCCAACTTCACAAACCCTTCACCCGCGGCCAACTTCACACAAAATTGCTGCGTAAATCCACATGTTCAATTGTCAAATCCAGAGTTTGAATCTCCGAATCTGATGTTTAAATTTCAATTTTCACACGTTCCATCCCCACAACATGGCTGGTGAACCATCCTCAATATCTATGAACTTCATTTCTGATGGTTAAGTTCTAATTGTTGAAATCGAACATGTTGTTGGTTAAATTCCTATTTTTAGATGGCTACAGGACCTTCCAGATCTTCCATGGCCTATGGAAAATCATCAAAATCGCCAGGTCATGGCCATGCGTTGGCACCCAGATCGGCCTCACAATCGCGACAAGAACAGTGAGGCAACGGCCAACTTTCGCACCGTGAAAGCAGCATACGCGTCTTGGCGCCGAAGTTTTCCATGAAAATCTCCGATAAATGGAAGGTGTCATCAAGGTACACCAAGCCGGCCCTATGGAAAATCCCGAGAAATGGCATTATTGCGGATTTAACCATTACAATTGGTGGCGTACCAGTCACAAAAGGATGTTGGTGAGTTTAATCGGTAAACATGATTAGTTCAATTCACCGGCCAAAATTGGATTTTACCCGGCAAAATTGTGATGCATATGTTAACAGGGCCGGGAGTTAACATGATTTGGCATGATATAATTATATATATATATATTATTTTTTTAAAATTATAATTGATTAAGACACTAAACAATGGTTTGGGTGTGTTTGAAAATAGTACTTTTAACGTCCCACTTAAGTGGTTTGCTTCAGTTTCACCATCCTGAAGCGGGGATACTGTAGGTGGCATTTTATAGTCAGTATAACGAACCCAATTTATGCAAGATTGGGGATAGTTACTGGAGGGTAAATTTATCAAACAATAACTGGTTGTTGGTTTCAAATAGTTTTAATTTTCCACAATACATGGGATCATCCTTCCCATTATATTTTTCAAGATGGTTAAAACCACCAACCAGATAATAAGCAGGTGTATAAGCAAGCATAATAGGGATAGAGTTCGATGTACTGGCTTAATGGGATGTATGAAACCAGTTTAGCTCCTCCGATATCGCCAGTTAATAAGGAGAATGGCATTGATCAACCATCTAATCTTGGGGCGGTACCACATTTTCAGACAAACCCAAGTGGGGGAATTTCTTGAGGGTGCGAATATATATATATACATAATTGTTTGGATTGTTTGGATGATGATTTTGGTAATAAATTTGGTCAACAGTGATTTGATTTGAGGAGAACAACCTAGTGTTTGATATTGGAGGTTTCCACCTGCATCCAACGATGCGAAACTGATGGTTCCTTAGGATCATGATCCGACGTTCTCAATGGTTTGGAAGGGAACATCTACGGGAAACAATGTTTTTTTCCCTTATGAAACATAGGGAGTTCTTGTAAAATGTCCCTTACATCCATTCATTGACATCCAAGTTCATAGTATTGTGGGTCATCGCGTGGTTCTATGTGTGCGGAATTGATTTTGTGATTCGTGGCAGTCGCTCATGGACTAGGAAAGGGATCTCTAAAAGGCTGAAACATGCCCCCTTTCCCATTCATTGGGAAATACAACCAACAAAGTTGAAATTGGATACTGTACTTCACAGGGACTAAAATGAAGAGAAATGGAGCAAAGCTACCCATACAGCCAACAACAGCGGTGAGAATTAGTGATGAATAGCATGAATAGCAGCGGAAGTGGGCTGCAAACACAGGTCCCTATGGAAACGCGGGTACTGTAAGGAAAATTGCGGAAAAACCCATGCGATACATTCACCCTTGGGGATCCTTGGGGCACATGGTCAACGATCAATGAATTGGGGCTACAACTAGCGTCACATATCAATATAGTGCATGTTTGATGCTACAAAAAGTAGGCCAAATCATTGTTTTGTCGTAAAACAGAAGCCTAAGGAATTGTAATGTGGATATGTCATGATATGTCACTCCGTTTTATTGCCTCCCCCCGACGATAAAATATATACTTACTATTACGAAGCTTTAGATTCTTACCCGTTGGCAATGCAACATGGCAATGAACAGACGTCCCATCTAGCGACCCATTGGTTCTGGGCAAATTTCATCACGACCTCACGTCGCGACATCACGTTTTATCATGGTTAATAAGGGGAGATAGCCGAACTATTCAGGTTAGTGAATTATTATATTTTGCCCAGATAGATGTTGTTTTTCGATCTTTTCCCTTATGTTACCTTATGTGCCGATGACGGATCCCATCTATTTTTTTTCCCTTGCTCCACGGTTTAGCGTTGGGCCGTGCTTTCGGACAAGGACCATCTGACACGAAGTCTCCCTCCAGCAGCGAGGTGACAAAAGCGTGAGGCAGGAGATCCATCGGTTGGGCTTTTTTCTGGGGAAAATCCCAGATTTTTGCTGGTTGGTAATATATTGGGAAACCATAGGGAAACCTATATTGATATTAATTAATTTGGCTGGTGTTTTGGAATAGTTTCTTTTTTCTCCCATAGATTGGGAATGTCATCATCCCAACTGACGAAGTCATATTTTTCAGAGGGGTAGGTATACCAGCAACCAGTTTGGCTTTCCAAAAGCTGCTCAATGAGTTCAATGAGATGGACAATGAATTTTAACTGATTTTGTTCAGCAACTCTTTTCCAAAAGCTCAAAGTGACAAATGCCTCTGGGGAAATCAATGAGTTCAATGAGTTCGGCTTTTCCATGACACTTGGCCTACTTGACCATTTAATGACCTGAAGATATCAGAGGAAACCATTGTTTTTTGATGGTTTTGAGATGTGTTTACCATGAAAAAACGCTGAGGGGTAGGACCTGTAGGATTTTTTTTTTTGGACCGATCCAGTGGGAACATGAATGGAACCCCAGTTGTGAATGGAGGGAGCTGTGAATTTGTTTTTTTTCATAAATGGGAGTAGTATATCCGTGTTTTTTCTTATTGAATATTTCTGGAGAGCCGGAGCCAGGAAGTTGGATACGCTTATCCGTACAGCCAGGATGGTTCCTATTGAAGACCCATTTGGGATTCCCTAAGTTGAATTTCTGAGGGGTGTAAGCTCAATAGAGTACGAGCGTAGCTGGAAGATTTGTGTGTTTTGATATGAGATGAACAGCAAAAAAGAAGCTCAGGGCTGTTTTTGACACCTCGGAACCATTCAAGAATCTTCGCAATCTCATTCAAGATTTAAGGGCAAGATTGAGCATTGGGCATACTGGGCCTCCAATATGCTGGATCCATCAGTACCTCCTTTCACCTCCCATTTGACACTTACCACCTGCAGCGGCTCCCCAAAAGGCCCCACTGCTCAGGTGGTGATATCGCTACTGGCCGCCGTAGGAAGCACCGGCACCGGGGTTGATCAAATTTTCGCAGCCATGTTGGATATGGTTGGTTGGTCCAAATTACATCAGTTTTCCACAATTGAACAGCTTCAAAGCTTTCAAGGTACACTTTACATCACTTTACAATGCCACCTATGTTTGACACCTGCTATATCCTCTCGGGGCTTAACATTGCTTAACTGTTGGACGTTCAAATGGGCCTTGCTTAGCCAAGATCAACCCTTGTGATGTATCGTTGGCAGTGACCAGCGCATATCTGTGCTGGTCACATCAATCACTCGCCTGTTTCATGAAGAATTCGTTGCCGATTCGTCGCGGACAATGTGCTTTCCTGGTGGTCCCCGAACGGTCGAACAGGTGTAGAAATTGCAGGGGCTTCCGACTTCCATGGTACCCTTTGGTAATAAAACATGGCGTGCTGGAAAATCCTCCATTTATGGATGATTGTCCTATTTAAAACCTCAATTGATAGTATATGATAGTATCTGTGCCATTGCCATGTTTGATTACCGAAGGGTTACCAAACATGGATAGAACATGATAAGTGATGGGGCGCCCCAATCGTTTTTGCACTGTTGAATAGCCCCGAGAACATCCCAGAACTATCTGCGTTGGTATTGGATGCCCATTTTTGTGCGGGGTCATCAGATGCTATAAGGAACATATTTTGGGATTGTACAGGTCATGGAGAGGCTCGAGGCAGCTGAAAGCTGCTCATATTTGGGTCGACTTAGGTCGGTCACTCGGGTGAAAAAGGGCAAATTTCAACATATTTTCTGTTTCAGCTATAGGTGTAATGCAGAGTATGAATGGAAAATGGCCCATGGAAAATGGCCCATTTACAGATGGTTTACCTATTAAAAATGGTGATTTTCCATGGCCATGTTAAATAACCAGATGGTAATTTTTACATGGAACTGCCACGAAAAAACAATTGATTTGGAACATGATTCTGCAACTTTTTGATGGTTCCATGTGAGTTTTGCGGAATGTCAATGGGATTATTTCAATGGGGCCTTCTTATCACTTGCAGCGCGGATAGATTAGGATTATATAATATAAGTTTTGATTTTGGATGATGCCCCAGTCACAAAAAAGGGTAGTGTCACCAGTTCTAAGTTACTTCGATCTATCCACCGTAAACCCCAGTGATTGGAGGTTCGGATTCAACTTCGCCATTTTTCACACCTTGTGACGCAGCTTGCGCTGCGAGCCAGGTGCATCCAGTGAAGCTTCCAGAGAAGCCACATATTCCCGGCCCAGGTGCGGTGGCGCCGTCACTGGCCATGGATTTTCCTGGAGGGGAAAAAACACCATCAGCTGATTATTTATAGCTGCATTTTGCACAATGATATTATATGACAAAATATGACAAAATATGACTATCATGATGTGATGGCTTCTATAAATCTTTATTACTGTTAGACTGCTAGAGTAATGTTATTGTGATGTTCTTTTCCAACTGGTATATATGCATTCATCCATAGTGTTAGTATTATGTTGGTTTTGTGATTTAGTCTTATTAGCCCCGTTAAGATTACAATCGGATTCAATCATAATCATGATGACTAAGAAATTTACTATCCCATAGGATCCATGGTGCTGGTATATATGCTAACATTTGGGGTATATTGATGGTATATTGATGGTAAATGTTACCATTTATAGCAGCACCATGGATCCTATGGGTATTGCTATCATCCTTTTGCTGCGCCTTCGCTGGTCGGACCGTGGGATGTTCGCAGGGGATGTGGATATTCTATGGCCCAAGGCCGCCAGCCCAGAGGGGAGGGCAGGTTGGTTGGGAAGTAGATGTTGAAAAGCCCATGGGTTTTCCTAGGAAAATGATCCACAAATGATGATTTTGGTAGGGATATTCCACATCTCTGTTAGTTAAAAAAGGAGGGTAGTGTGTGGTTAAACAACCCTCTGGCGGCTAGGAAATATCCTATCAATAGGTTGATTAGGAGAAAGGGTATGTACTCTTTGGTAAACTAACATAGCTATTGAAAATCACCATTGTTCATGGGAAAATTCACTATAAATGGTGATTTTCCAT